AGTTGTTTTACACTGAATTTTAGAATTTAAAATTCAGCCAATGACCAAACAAATTTCAAGATAGTAAATTGGCTGTTTATTATGCTTTGTTGAAAGGTATGCACGGTTGACCTGCTGGCTTCAACAAATTGTATAATTTGAGTACAGAATCTGCTATAGTGATTTAAAATCTAATTACTTTGTAGCATGATACCTAAAACTCGGACTGTGTTCAAATAAACTTTGTCTTTATTTCATTGAATTATTTTAAGAATAATTTATTATATTTGCTTTAAAGATTTACATTTACTGGGTGGGGTGAGGTGTTTCCATTCATATTATACTAAGCAGCAAAAGACAAAAGAAACGTCAGGTTGGTATGTTACTCTTAATAGACGCATTGCATAAAACTTGCCAAATGTTTTTATTGTATATTTGTGACCACATCGCCAACTGAACCCAGGAAAAGTTCTCAAAAACGCAACCTGACTTCTGAGATGGTAATGTGTTCTCCATGATTTTCATGTAACTCATGCCGCACGTGCAGTTCACCGGGACCAGCCCTATAAACTGCACCCCCATACCTGGCTGAATCATTCACCATTCCCACTACAACGTCAGCAGCATGTCACGACTCACGACAGCTCAGAGGAACCAGGCGTTTGGAAGAATCGACGCTGGCCACAATGCCCATGCCGTTGCCAATCACTTCCACGCTTTCGGACCACCAATACCACGGATGATCGCCCCGAACTGGTAGACCAAGGGTTACCACAAGGCGACAAGACCGCCATGTTGTGCGACAACACGTGCATAATCCCTTCACACAAGCACCTGAGACAGTACGCCAGACAGTGGGAACACACGGAAGACCCATCAGTACTGATACAGTGCGCCGACGTCTCACCAGAGAGAACATCCATTGCCGTAGACCTTACCGTGGACCGATCCTCACCCCTCGCCATCGACGTGAACGTCTACAGTTTGCTCAACAACACCAGAACTGGCGACACAGGCAATGGAGAACTGTTCTGTTCACAAATGAGAGTCGGTATTGCGTATCAACTGCAGATGGCAGGACCAGAATATGGCGTCGATGTGGCCAGCGTTATTCTGACCAATGTGTCATGGAACGAGACTCATGCGGAGGTCCATCAAGCATAATGGTTTGGGGTGGAATCGGCCTGAACCAGGGAGTGGGTCCTGTGGTGTTCCAAATTCTTGGTCCAGGCGGCATCACAGCAGTGCGCTATATCGACCAAGCTCTCAGACCCCACGTCATACCACATTTCGCACGTCATCGAAGCAACGTTTTCCAGCATGACAACACCGGTGCCCACACCGCCAGAGTTACTCGGGACTTGCTACAGCAGAACGGTGTCAACGTTATTCACTGGCCAAGTTCTTAGTCCGGACTTAAACCCGATTGAACATCTTTGGGATGAAATTCAGAGGAGACTTTATAACGTCGTACCGAGACCAAACACAGCCGATGGATTGCGCCAGGCTTTTCTGAGAGTGTGATTTCAGGTGCCAATGGCGTTCATCAATCGTCTGGTCCACTCCATGTACAGACGCTGCGCTGCTGTTATTGACACTCGCAGTGGTCACACCAGTATAGACTGTGTACAGACTCTAAACCGTCTCGTAATGTCTTGGAATTGTGATTACTTAATCACTAATCTGTCAACATACTGATCACAAAAAATTGCTTTGATCCATTTAGTAAGTCGTTTTCCAGAATGATTTAAATAAAATGCTTCTCCTGACGTTTTTAGGGGGTGGGGGGGTCTGTTTAGTATATATACAGTACATTAAAAATATGTTATTTTAAGACTTTTTTATTCGTAATAAAACTAATATAGAACACCAGGGCCACAGCACACAGGAAAATTCCGCTGGAAACTAGGAGTCATATTCTGAGCCGAAATTTATTAGGTTGATATTTTGGGGCATTTGGCCAGTTGGATATGGGCCATCTCTGGTCCAAACATGGCAAACTTCTCGCATAATATTTCTTTTTCAAAAGTTGTGAGTATAAAACAACAAATTTAAAACCTTTTAACAAATTGACAAGATATTCTTAGATACCAGTTACAAAAATAAGTTTTATTCGTCAGTAGTGAGCCAGTAGTTGCCAAGCGTTACCCAGTCTATGGCCTACATGTGGCAATATCTGGCTATAGATATGGGCGACATCCAGCCAGATGTTGCCATATATTATGGGCCAAAGCTGAGTGGCTGTCTGGGTGATAACATTAATAATATCTCAGAGTAGCCCAGATTTCGGCAACTTCCGGTAAGCGGTTCCAATGATATCAGATTACCTCACATTTCATGTGGCACGACTACAGACCGCAATTATCAACCGATATCCATGAAACTTACGGAATATGATAACGTTAATATGGTCGAAATTTTGGATACACTGAGATATTACTAATGTTACAGTTATAGTGTAGACATATCTTTGACAAATATTAATCCCATTTTGCCTAAAAGAAATAGGGATCCTCGTCTCGTCATAATGCAAGTTTCATGGGGGTCTTACAAAAGTCTTATAAACACCGTAGCCTCTATTATGCTGACAAGAAGTGTGGACGGACAGGGTGATCGCAATATACGGCCACACTGCAAGATATAATCAGAACATCCGATATCACTTCTCATTTTACATATGTAACACACTTGTGTTGTATTTCAAGCAATGAGCTGGTGATACTGCTGGCTCTTAACTTCCTGGTAGGTCTGGTTTCTGAAACTAAATCCGGGCCTGTTGAAATCAGGAAAAGTGAGACCGTCCATTTTACACCTATTTGCTTGTGCCAGGACACAATTGTAGTATATTTCAGCCAGGTGACAGGATGTTAAATTTTCCGGCTACCAATGTGCAAACGATTCTTTCCATTACCGAAGATGCACCAGGACCTGACAAATGGAACCAGTCATGAAGTTTGAACCATGTAAGTTTGAACCATCATAAATAAAAACAAACGAGAACAAATTTGATTTTATTTATATCAATTTGTAGCACAAATATGAAATTTCTTCGAATTTGATTGGCTAAATTACTTTAGCTTTGTTGTTGGCATTTAAAAGGTACACTTCACAATGTGAGAGAAATCTTCATGTTACATCACCCATTCTATCATGAAATGGTCTTAACTAAAATTTAAATAATATTTGTACTCTCAGAAATAACAGACACTTCTATTCAAGCGTTCAGCGTCGTCGGTTGAATGCACGATATTCTGAGGTGAAGAATATTAAAAATTTTGGTTTCATTTGGAGGTTTAAACGGTTCAGAAAACACTACCTTCTAAAATAAAATAAAGCAGTATGATGTTTCAAAATAATTTAAAAGTGGTATCAAATCCGCCCCTGAGCATATACCGCCAAATGCACGATACCCTTCACTGATAGTTCATTGAAACAATATTTACATATTACAATATCCTCTGGATATCTGTCGTAGATAAGTTCATCAGACTTTTATAACACATTTTCATACTGAACTGATATGTAAAATACAGCCATTGGATACCGATTTAAGGTAGGGCACTTGGTTAAGTGGAAAAGTCAAATGTTTTCACTTAACTTTAAGAACACCTTTGAATACGGGCCCAGGACTCAACTTACACAGACAAAAAACAGAAACGAAGAGCGCACATCCGGAACAAACAAAAAAGACAGTTCTGTCATACAGGTGAAGTCACTGGGTGAAGGGGCTAAGTCTTTAACTCAATATCACCCACAGTCTTCGACTTATTGATCAATTTAAATCAAAATTGATGTTGTCATCTTACCGTGAAAAGTTTGGCTTTTGATATCCAATATTTAAGACCAAATGGAAATTTTAATATTGGCACACGAATCGTGTGCCAGAATGTTTTTGAGTGCCAGTTGTATGGACGAGGCTAAACATATCCCATGTAGGAGAATACTAACGGTGTAGACTGGAATAACCAGACACCAAATATGCTATCATATTACACTATTCGCGTATTTCGCCGAACATAACTGATTAGAAGTTACAGTAAAAACAGAAACGATTGAAGCTAAATCAGTTTATATACATTCATATTTACATTATTATATGCTTTGCGACCCATTTGTGTCCATTTATATAGGTATAGTGATTAGCTCAACAGTCAAGATTATATGTTCTTGTATATATGGCACATATTGAAATAGATCATTTTGCAGAAGTGTCTTCATATCAATATTTTAAGGCCCATGAACGCGACACAGGACAGAATTATCGACGGAATGCTTTAAAACTTGGTCGACTATCATTGTTGTTTGGAGCGTTACAAAAAACAAAACAACAACATGTTTTAAGTTCTCCCGTTAACTATTTATATAATCCCAAAATCTTTTCAACGCAGTATCACCCGAATTCAGAGAGAAATTTGTTAAAACTTATTGCAATTGTTCATTGGGGTGCGATAATGTATTTACGTGGGATTACCGAAACATTTAAGTGATGTTCAGTACATATGGAAATACAAAAAGATCACGCGCGGAAAAGCCGACTTTCCATTTATAGAGCAATATATATACATTTGGGGAGTTAAGATTTGTATCTCAATAGGGGGTTAATGAGCTCGCAATATTAACCTTTTTCTTTCTGCAAATTAAATTCTACTTTTTTGAAGTATTAGAAAAATAAATAAAAGTGTTTGAAGTATATCTAGATAAAAATATTTCCTATTAAGTGTAAATGGGTATATAAAATGAGTAAAGGGCACCATCCTGCCCGGACCAGTTTACTGTCTTATGTAAACAATACACGCGCCATCAAGCCAGTGACATCACTCATACTTACAAAGGTCAGTCATCTTATACAGAACTTTTGTAATACCTCTGTGAAACAGATTGCCATTGGTAAAAGAAAGGGGGTCTGGTCCCGTTCTTCTTGAGTGGAGTAGCCTCCCTTGTACTGTGTTTTTAAATGAAAATTATGGCTTGAAAACAGAGACTAGAAAGGCGTTAGAGTTACGCCCCTGTTAGTTCTCAACAGCAATCTAGTCCACGAGGCAAGATGTTGTAGCAGTTTGTTTGATTTCACCTTTAAATTAAATGTAGCAAACGTGACAGGTAAAATATTTGAATAAATATATAGTTGTGAACACCATTATGGAATTAACTGCTAAATGGTAACTAGAAACATAGCTTCATTAATGTCAACATTGTAAAGAATTTGTAGATAATTTTCGGACAACTACTAATAAATCTAATTATCGTTATGTATCCTCAGCTACTCTGTGTCGGAAATAGAGGTCACAATGACCCAATTTAAATTACCCTTCAATTTCAATGCTAGACCTTTTAATTATCCTTCAATGCTAGACATTTAAATTATTTAGCATTGTATTTATGTTATGAACAAATTACACAATTTGCTATTTAAATGCTGTTCTGATCAATTCATGAATCATGACATAAATGTATGTACCTGTGTAAAGTAGCTAAGTCTATAACATAACTCAACAATATCATCAATTTGTCAATTTAAATCAACATTGATGTTTTGATCTTACCGGGAAAAGATGGGCTTCTGATATCCAATATTTAAGACAAAATAAACATTTTACCATTGGTACACGAATCGTTTACCATAATGCGTTTCAGGCTCATTCTAACAAGGGTCTCGAAGAACAAGGCTAGACATTTAACAAGTCATGTCAAACGGTGACGGCATATTCATATCAGAAGAGTATGCGCAATAAATACTATGTAGAATAGAATAACCAGACGCTAGAAATTTTCATTCGATTGAGACTTCAGACATATTTCGCCGAACGTAACTGATTTGAAATTAGAGTAAAAATGGAAACGATTGAATGTAAATCAGTTTATATATATTCCTATTACATTATAATATGCATTACGACCCATTTGTGTCAATTTCTAGGTCCAAAATATTAGTGATTTATAATTGTCGCCATTGGCGAATGTCTATGGCGGTCACTGGTGTGGGGAGGGGGGGGGCGAATGTCAACAATTGGGGGGAAATATCATGTTGACATAAATGATGATCATATTAATAAAACATAAATTTCTAGGACTGTCCATCTCTAAAGAACTTAAGAAGTGTATATGATGCCCCTGGACAACTGTTTTGATTTGTGGCGAGGTGGGATTTGGGTAGAGCAGGTGTGCTTGTGAAGGGGGGGGGGCGTAAAATTGGCGTGAAATGAGATCACATTGATTTAAATGATGATTTTCTTAGAGCTTGGTAAAAACATTACTTTTTAATTCCGCTGCACATTTCTAAATATGTGTATAAGATTCCCATTGTATGGGGTGGGCAAGATATAATTTTGGGATTCAAAAATGACCTAAAAAGTGTTTTCTGGTTAGCTTTTTCGCTCAGTACCAATTTTGTCATTCAAAATATTAAATTATAATGGTACTTACTTTTTAAGAGATCTGGAAATGTGAATTAAAAAACACAGTAAACAAGAGATGTGTTTAGATATTAGTTTATTCTTATGTTCTTCATCAAAGGATTTAAAATCAAGTTCATAATATGAGCGGGATAAATATCTTCTTGATGGCTGATCAACAGCTTGCATATATCCTTTGGATATGCTTCAGATACCCATTCACATGAATACTTGCTAAATACCGTACATCAGTGCTGTCTTGAAGTCCCTGCGCATCTTTTGCATTTTTTGGAAAATAAGCCACTCTAAAATGCACTCAAATTGATTATTTATTATTTGATTAAGGATGCATTATGCGCTAAATCTGCCTAATTATTTCAGATCAATCGTTTGACCTCAAATATAATTAATTAGACATTTATTCCCATTGCAGATCTTTCATTTTACTGCAAATACCATTAATTCGACATTTATCATAATCAACTCTCTAGAAGTCGGATGGTTTTGATGTTCAACAGATTTAAATGCAATCGCAATTTTTAATTAAAAAATCGATAGTCGAGACTTTATTATTGTAATGTTCGGTAGCAATGAGAATTAACTTTCTCTGAAATGTTTTGATGAGCCTCTATTCAATTGGATTGAATGAAGTCAAGAGATTATCTACTGTTGATATTTTAACTTGAGTTCTCTCAAAGATGCATTATGTAAGATTTCTGTAAAGAACTGACAGTACTCCTATAACAGTTAAAAAAAAAATTTCAGTCGCATTACATTCTCTACTCTGGATTCTGTACCCTTTCCTCCTGTCTCGTGTAAGGTTTTGGTGCTGCTATTACATGTGTAGCTTGTATTTCTGTCTCATTTTTGCATTAGACAACATTGAATCCATCCAGCATTAATTGAACAAAAACTATCATATTTTTATTATTTATTATTTTACTGATTATATAATCAAGGAAACTGTGATGGGTCCGAAAATGAATTATAGTGACATTTTCAATAATTATTTGAAACGGCTTACTGAATTATTTGTTGAGGCAATTAAATTGTCAGCCGTAGTCCATGTTTTCTTAAAATTTGAAATCCGAGAAGGGTAATCAAATATGTTACTCATAATTCATAGAACATTGGTTGAGACTTGAGTTTGTTGGGTTTTGAAGTACATATATTTTCTTCAGGTTTTTCTTTATCAAATAATCAATATTAGTCCAATTGTCTCTATGCCAACTGCACCAGAACTCAATACTACATCATCTGATGTGCAAACTATTGATTTCTACAAGTTGATCAGTTTGTGCCGGCAAGGTATTACCGTACATGTATATTAGTTGACTACGGTACATGACATAAAAGAAGGTCTACATTTTAAAAATTAATTTTATAAGCTCACATTTGTACAAAAAATCGTGTTTTTACTTGTGGACTCTCTAGAGGCCAAAATTTGTATTTGATTTTAAAAACTGTTGAACTATATCACTGTAACACCATAATAACAGTTGAGTTCTAATTTTGTGAAAATTGAACCAAAAATGGCCGCTCCCTGTACCCTAATTAAAGATACATCATGGGAAATAAGATAAAGAGATGGCAGTTCTCGCTATAATAGTTAAAAACTAGATAGTGTAAAGGTAGTTTGCTGAAAATTTCAGTCAAATTGATCTACTATGAGCCTAGAAACAAGCGGGTGAAATTTTTGCACAGTCTCGGTCATCATTACTAAAATCATTAATATAAACAGCATAGTCTCGATTATCCACTTTTTTTGATTTGATTATCAGTGGCAGTTAGCGGCATATAGGAATCTAATCCAGCCAACATCGAAGGCTAGCCTTGACATCGAGAGTTTATTGATAATTTAGATAACATTTCAGGCCTAAAGAAAGACTTGTAATAAGCAGATTTTGCTCTTGCATAATGCATGTTTAATACTAATAGTGTAAAGTATGAAATATCAAGGTTCTTGACTCCCTCTAGAGGTCACAATTTTTATTTGATTTTGAAGATACTTAAAATTTATTCTAAAGATCTCGGATCCATTCTATTTTTACGCATATTTTTATTTGATTTTAAAAAAAACTTTTAAATAGATCACTGTTACACAAAAAATTGCTTTTTTTGCAAAATGTGGGTGTATCTTGCATGCCACTTGTTTATTCCTGATAAAGGCAAGCCTGAGCTGCTCTTGAATCAGACTTTGATAAATTACACCAAAGATCTGATTTCTGCTTGCTTGGTCCAGTCCAGTCTATGAAAAAAAAAAATCATAAATGATCAAATTATTAATTTAAAGGACAATATTGGTGCCAGTCATTATCACATATGTGATAGAGCTGGTTAAACATTTTTCAAATATAATTTTAACACAGAGATCATTGCTACGATAGCTGAGTAATACAGGTTTCCTGAGTCGGAAGTGACGAACGCCAAAGGAAAACACGAGTCATCTCTCTATATAACTGACTGATGTGACGAGTGATAACGGATATACAGCCGAATTTCTGCTCACTAATAATTCCTTTGAAGACCAAAAGTTGATATATGGGACCGTAAGAGGATACCTGACAATTCAATAAAGTAATTGAATGTCATTAGATAAGAGAACACGAGAAAAAAGAAATAGTCCGTACATTTCCTTGTTTATATTCATTTTATATCTTAAAAAAACATGGTAATGCACGTTTTTCTGTTTTTCTTTCGTCTTCACTTATCTAGTGGCAATCAATTCTTTTTATGAATTTTCAGATATCCTCTCACAATCTCATACAACAACTTTTGGTCTTCGAAGGAATTATTAGTGAGCAGAAATTCGCCCGTATATCCGTTATCACTCGTCACATCAGTCAGTTATATAGAGAGATGACTCGTGTTTTCCTTTGGCGTTCGTCACTTCCGATTCTGGAAAACTGTATTACTCAGCTATCGTAGCAATGATCTCTGTGTTAAAAATATATTTGGAATGTGTTTAACCAGCTCTATCACATATGTGATAATGACTGGCACCAATATTGTCCTTTAAACAGTATAGATGCCCTTCACAAGTAGCAAAAAGTTTTCTGTGACTGTTTTCTGTTTAACTCATCAAATATTAAGGTTGTACTTACAGTATTTGTTTGTTTATGTCAAGTGACATTGACATAGATAGTCTGTGTATGTCAATTGACATAGACATAGTCTGTCTATGATTAAAGATGTGTTATGCAAGATTTAGATAAAGATCTGATTCTTGCTATAACATTAGTTCAATAATAGATAATGAAAACTAAATATTATACTGAAAATTTCATTCAAATTACTTTTCTGAGCGAAGTTATTGGTGTTGTAATATTTGTAGCTCAGATTGTTTATTATCGTAGCAACATTACTTGTTAATTGAAACTCTGCCTCGCTTCTCCATTTTTATACGCCCACATTTTTATGTGGACCTAAATTGTTCGTCTGTCCACAATTTGTTTGTGGACACTCTACAGGCCACAATTTTTTATCCGATTTAGATGAAACTTGAAATGTATGTTTATAACCCAGAGATCTTGGTTCCTTTCGATATCTGCGCATATCGGACCGCAACTTTCTGGACTTTGGTCCCTGATTGTACGAAACGGAAAAGTAACGTTTTTAGCTTGTGGTCCCATTTGTAGTCACAATTTTTATATGCTTTAAAAAAATGTTCAAATATATCACCGTTACACCATAATGATGATTTAGTTTGAATTTCCTGAAAATCGTACTGAAACTGCCTGGTAAAATGGCTTTTCCTTGTACGCAAATAGTGTAAAAGTATGTAATACCAAGTTTGTGGGCCCTCGTAAAGTCACAATTTTTATCAGATTTTAATGAAACTTAAAATGTATGTTTATATGCCAAAGATCTCGGTTCCTTTCGATATTCGCGCATATCGGACAGTAATTTCCTGAATAATGGCCCCTGATTGTACAAAAAAATCACATTATTTTTTTAACTCGTTCTCTGTCCATTTCTTGCATGGCATCCGCTTGTTACGTTTATTTGTCACTTCAGTAAATAACTTGTCACTCATATTATCAACGTCACATTTTGATTTGTTGGACACAAGTAGGCAAACAAACATTTCAGGCCCTGGACAGTAATTGCAATTTGTGACTCCAATAAAATATCAATTATTCATTTATCCTGACATTCTTTTCTTGTTAAATATTGACCAGTTGTGAATCATAATACAAATTGTATTGTAGCACCCAAATTGCAATACATATAGTATTGTGACTGCATTCACAATACCTAGCACTACAATTAGTTAAACTTACATTATGCAAGAGCTAAATCTGTCTATTGCAGGTCTTTCTTTAGGCCTGAAATGTTATCTAAATTATTAATTAGACATTAATTAACCTATCCAGACCATAATCAACTCTAGATGGTACGCTAACCTCAGATCTTTAGTGGATTGTGAGTAGATTTACTGCATAACTTTCCTTCACGTCGATTTAACGATTAAATAGATAATCGAGACTATGCCTATGCTGTTTATCGTACTGACTTTAGTAATAATGATCACGGCTAGGCGGAAATTCAATCGCTTGTTCTCGGTTCATAGTGGATCAATTTGAATGAAATTTTCAGCAGATTGCCTTTACATTATCTAGTTTTTGACTATTATAGTGAGAACTGACAACTTGTTATCGAATCTCCCATAATGTATCTTTAATTATGTGTCATTTATTTTTTGGAGGGGAGGGGGATTGTGAGGGGGAACATCACCCTCACTGTTGGCTTTTTTATAAATTTGAAGCGAAATGAAATGAAATGGGGTTTAACGTCCTACTGTTCTGCTCCTAACCTGGGCTAATGAAGACGGGCATACGCCATACAGTGTGCTATGAGGGAAATTTTGCCCGGACAGTGGCACTACGGCCTACTCTTATATCGAATTCCAACTGCCAAGGGATCTTTTACGTGCACGCCAATGTGTACACGGGACCTCGGTTTTTCGTCCCATCCGAACGACTAGACAGCTTTCCTTGTCAGCCCCTCCGTCCTGCATCACTGACAAGGGAGAACCACGCCGGAAAATCTGGATGAACTTTCTCGGCCAATGCAGGGATCGAACACCCGACCTCCAGGCTAGCGAGCTAGCATCTTACCCACTTAGCCACGTGATCCCCTAAATTTGAAGCCAAATTATAGACCTGCAATAGGCAGATTTAGCTCTTAGATAATGCATCTTTAAAACGTCATGCTCGTATAAGTATAGTAATGACAATAATAAAAAAAAAATTATTCTTATTCTGCCAATATTTTTTGTGACATTTGTTTGTACTTCTCATTATCTTGACAGTATTATTTCCTGAATTGTTCATCAACAACCATCTAAATCTCGATTTTCTAATCAGTAATTTAACACTTATTTGAAATAACTAGAGTTTTGTATTATATTGTAGAATAAAGATTGGTTGTTACCATCTATGTGGTAAATGGTAAAGCCGTGAAAGTTGTTAAGATTGTCTTAGTTTGAATACACAGAGATCAGTGCATGTAAAGGTAAGCTTACATATTGTAACATATTATTAAAGGAGAATGCTATATAGTAAAAGTTTAATTTTATCATTTTCAAAGTTCGTTGTGTAACGCATTTCAGAATTATTTATTTTTAAAAAAAAGTTTTAGTAAAAAATACCATCGGCGTCATTAAACACTTTCGGATTTCCGCAATTAATTAAACACATAACAATTAATGAGCTGAAGCTAAATCACATGACATTACGTAAGAGACAACACTCGTGTAACAGTCGATGTATATTTCAATATGGCATCGACAGAAAGTGACAGCTTGTCAGACATTGATTTCGCCCTTATGTTCTTCCCTATCAGTACGAGCCAATTAGAAATGCCAGAAACAACGGTGACGATGATTGTTTGCAAAATTCGACCATTTCTAGTGACAAATAGGCACTAAAAACAGCATAGGCCTACCCTGTCTTATCACCACAGCCCTTCGATTCTCGATAACTTTTCTTCGCTTCATTTATTGATGTTCAAGCTTCCTCTGCGAAAATACATCATAGAAAAACTTTAAATTCCATTAAGTTTACCCTAGCCACAGGGTAATACAGTATTATATCACCAACAGTTTCGGCCAGTTTCGGGACTATTCTGCGTTGGAATATACACCCTGGTGATAATGTAATATTTCATACATATGGAATATTTGTAGATGAGCTAGGTTTTGGGGTGTATAGCTCATTTGTGGAGAAGTATAAATAGTGAAAGTGGTCACTGCATTTTAAGTCCAATTCCAAATCCATTTCAATATTACTTTATATACAGTTTAAAAATACATTATTTACAAGATCATATCAAAGGGTTACTAAATGTCTTAAGCCTATCTCATCTGATGTCCCTGTATATTTTTCATTGTCTTCTGCCTGTGAAGGGGTCTTTTAAACAAACTAATTTGCATACAGACAAAAAGACAATCAGTTCAACAAATCAGATTAAGATGAAATGAGAGAGAGAGAGAAATGTAGTTTAACATCCACTCGACACAAACTAGGTCATTTCGGGACTAACATATGGTTTAATTTTATTTACATGATTCGCTTGCGCGTAGGGGTCTTTAGCAGTGGGAGGAAACCGGAGGACTTGGAGAAAACCCACGAGGTTGAACAGGCGACCCTACTCCTTGCCACGTACAATAGGGGATTCGAAACCACGCCAGTCGACTCAATGACATACTGTATGATACAGAGCGCGCACGCTAACCATTCAGCCATCCAACCCCCCTCTATTAGTGAGAGTGATGAAACTTAGTGCATAGTTTCATTACATCAATACCTTGACTGAGTTCAATAATGAGCATTTTCTGCTCAGGGTAAGCAGAGCGATAAGCAATTTGATTGGTCAAGACTTTGGAACATAACAACTCTGCTTTTAATTGAGGTCCCGGTTGTACGTGACAAGGAGTAGGGTCGCCTGTCCAACCTCGTGGGTTTTCTCCGGGTCCTCCGGTTTCCTCCCACTGCTAAAGACCCCTACGCGCAAGCGAATTATTGAAATAAAATTAAACCATATGTTAGTCCCGAAATGACCTAGTTTGTGTCGAGTGGACGTTAAACCCCATTTCTCTCTCTCTCTTTTAATTGAGGTAGAATGTTTAAACTTGATATAGATGTTCATTAGGTATTGTTTAATGGTCGAGAGCAAGACATTAATGTTTTTACAATATATTACGCAATGTCTTAAGCTCGAGAACATTAAACAACTTAAAATACAGACACTTGCACGTGCTTTGCAATGAAATACATCACTCGAGTTCAATATTTTACCAAGTTACACTTGGCACATTGCCCGTACGATTATCTGAAATAATGGTACTCCAACATCAAAGGATGACGTCATATCTGTATTTTAAGTGAATGTCTTGACTGAGTTAATGATTAACATTTCAAGCTAAAGCTAAGCAGAGCTAAGCAATTTCATTGGTCGATGCTTTGGGACAAGATAACTTTGATTCTATCTGATCTATCTGATAGAGATTGATGAAACTTAGTGTATAGTTGATAATCAGCTTGATACTTTTGCAAAAAAAATAAATGTGTGATTAATTAATATGTGTCATATCATATATTTATTTTTGGGATTTTCATGTGGACGTATATTGCCGTCGCCCCTGTCAGTCCGTCGACAATCTGTTTGTGGATACTCTACAGGTCACATTTTTTATCCGATTTTGAGGAAACTTGAAAGATAGGGTTATATCCCAAAGATTTTGGTTCCTTTCGATATTTGCATGTATCAGACTTTAAATTCCGGGATTATGGCCCCTGATTGTATGCAAAAACGCATTTTTAGCTTGTGCTAGAGGTCACAATTTTTTTCCAACTTTTAAAAACTGTCCAACTATATCACTGTTGCACCAAAATGATGATCAAGTTCGAATTTCGTGAAAATCGGACTGAAACTGGCTGACAAAATGGCCGTTCCCGGTACGCAAATATTGTAAAAGTATGTTATACCACATACTCCTTGCAGTGTTTCGTTTGATTAGAGCTAATCCCACTTAAAGGACAATATTGGTGTCAGTCAATATTACATATGTGATAGAACTGGTTAAATACATTCCAAATATAATTTTAACACAGAGATCATTGAAACGGGAGACATGTTACAAGTACGTGAAGAAACGGAAAGTGACGCCAAACATGACAACCACGAGTTGTCCTTCTATATAACAGACTGAAGTAACGAGCGGTAAGAGACAAACGATCGAATTTCATTTCACTGATAATTCCGTTGAATTTGAAAAGTTATTATATGGGACGGTGAGAGGGTATCTAACAATTCAAAAATAGTGTGAAAGTATGTAATACCAAGGTTGTAGACACTCTTAGAGTTCACAATTTTTATCTGATTTTGACGAAACTTAAATTAAAGTAGCCAAGTCTTAAACTCAGTATCATCCAGTCTTCGACATTGTAAACACGACTTATTGGTCAATTTAAATCAACATTGGTGTTGTTATCTTACTATTTGTAATGAGCAACTTAGTAATTATGATCCCTGATCATATGAAAAATCGCATTTTAATTTTGTGGACCCTGTTTTACAGGTCACAATTTTAATCAGATTTAAAAAAGAATGTTTAAATATATAACCATTACACCATAATGATGGTAGAGGTTGAATTTCTTGAAAATCAGACCGAAACTGCCTGACATAATGGTCACTCCACGTACGCAAATAGTGTAAAAGTAAGTAATACCAAGGTTGTGGACCCTATTAGAGGTCACAATTTTTAACTGATTTGGAATATTTGATGAAACTTAAAATATATGTTTATATCCCAAAGAACTGTTCCTGTCGAATTCATGCATATCGGGCCGTAACTTCCTGGGTTATGCCCCCGATTCGATTGTACAAAAAATATATTTTTATATCCCAAATTTCTGGGTTCCTTTCAATACTTGTGTGTATCGAACAGTAACTTCCTGGATTATGGCCCCTGAATGTACGAAAAATCATTTTGTTTTTAACTTGTTCTCTGTGCATCTCTTGCAAATCATGGGCGTATCTTGCATGGCAACTGCTTTTGTATTTTTCTGGACACAAGCTACCCCAACAGTCGGAAATAGAAATAAGTGTAGGTCATAGCATCATCTGTTGTGGCAAAATTTCCCTCCTACATGTACCTCATTGAATGTCGTGTACCGGTCTTCATTAGCTTGTTTGATGCCGAATGAAATGGACTCTAATATTTTCACACATCCCACCCCACCCCCCTCTCCTTTAAGAGATGAAGAAGCCTGATTACAACTTTTGATAAGTCAAATAGCTAAAGATCATCTGATTACCGGTACCATATTTGTCTTGTATTACTGATGTTAGACTAGTAAGAACTAGAGACCAGTTAAATGTTAATTATTTCTGACAATTACTTAGTGTCTTGTAAGTGCTCCCATTACCTACAAAAGTATAAATATCTAACAGCCTTTGTGGACTGCTCAGACGACTTAGCTGCTGCGGGCATATGTTTCGTTGCCTTTATATTCCGGTAATCATGTTGATTTAGAGAATGCTTCAGGTTAAAAAGTACCAACTCAATTACATTACTCAATTTCATTCTTTTTTCTTTTTTTTTTCAGATTGTTAATTAAAGCATCAGAATGTCTTTTATTGGTTCCACTATTGGTCTAATCAGACATTATCTGTGTATTCAGAAGACAGTTTCAGCAAAGTCTTTACCAGTACAATTCCGTGAACCATACATACTCACTGGTTACCGTTTACCTAATAAAACCTGGTCATATTATATCATCAGTTTATTTCAATGGCATAATGAAACCATCAACGTGTGGACACATCTTATAGCATGTATCTTTGTCTTAGCAGAGTTAGCCATGTTTGGTCTTCAATATGACCTGTTTGGTAACAAAGATGGTGGAGCCTTATTAGCATTTGGTCTAAGTTCCATTGTCATGTTTTTGATAAGTTCCATGTCGCATTTGCTACATTTAAAATCTATTAAAGTTCATTATATTTTAAGTTTAGCTGATTATGCTGGGATAAGTCTGTACGGATCTGGAGCGGGTATAGCTACATTTTATTCTAGCGCCCGACCTGAAGTTTACCAAATCATGGCACCTTATTACATAATTGGCAATGTTTTTGTTGGTTGGCTTGTTTATGCCACTTGCGTCATTGCCAAACTCAAATTTGTTGGTCCTCATCAGTTGGAAAGAAAACTACTACAGATATTTTCATTCACTATTCAGGGTGCGTGGATTCTTATACCTATACTATCAAATTATTTTCATTGTTTTATGGATGAGAAATGTAGCTTTATGGATCTCAACCATATGACAATGTCCTTCTTTCTCTGTCTTGTGGAGGCTGTGGCCTTCGCTGCCCATATTCCAGAGAGGTATAGGCCGAAAATGTTTGATTATGTTGGCCATGGTCATCAGATATTTCATTTGTTGTGTATTTATTCTATAATTTATCAGATGAGAAGTGTTGATCTGAATATTAAGCGAGGTCTGGCCAATCATACTCGTATGAATATCAATGATGTACTTATAGGATTTAGTGTTTTAATTCTCTCACAAATCATAACCACTTTCAGTATACTTGGTCTTGTTGATAAGAAAGTCAAAGAAATTGCCAAGAAACACTAATCTTTATATTTTCTAGGTTAATCCCACTTTTCTTATACAATTACTTGGTCTGTTTTGGCAAATTTGATTCCTATCAACAAATATTTAAAATTGGGGAAAAAAAGTAATTAGCAGTATTGAAATATTTATTTGAATGTATAGTACTATGTATAATTTTTACATCCATATGTAGTATCTGATGTCTTAAAAACCCATGTACAACATACACATTTCCTGTCCGTGATATTTAACAGAAAAAAACTTTGGAATTTATTCAACAGTTCCCCGTTTTAATAATTTCCGAAAAGACAATTCAAAGTATGCACTATATTTATTGATTTCCTTCTCATACCCCAGCTTGGTATTGAGTAATGTATGTTTAAGTTATGTGTATTATATATGGCGGTATGTGTTATTTATATATATATTTGTATGGGTCAGGCAGGGCTCTCATTTCGTCCATATTTGCTAGTCAATGACCAACTGACATTCTGGCTGATCAGATGAAATTTCATGTAACTGAAAAATCTGACAGTCAGTTTGTATGTCAGGATATTTTATAATATATCACTAGATGAAGGTTAGACATTAAATAATAAAATCAAATTGTTAGTGCACAAAATAAATATCCTGTGTAAAACATTGAAACCTGTTGACTGAGAGTCCTGCTGCTATATTTTACTGGATATTCATTAGGGATAATTAGTGATGGTCCGATATAGCTACTGTCGGTTTTACCGATATCAGATATTGACAGCGAAATATATTGGCCGATACAGGTACAATTACCAATAATAGTGGATATAAAACTATTACACATTGAAATGTCTCGAATGTCATCATAATCGATGTAGTTACATGTCATTGTTAGTCAGGAAACAGCTGGTACTATTTTACCTCAGGAATCAAACGGGAACACACTGTTATTTTAAGGAAAAAATAATTGGTTCACAATTCCTCCGTAGACAAAAATACACTCCATCTATTGTGAATTAAAATCATTTATATTTAGTCGAGATTATCATTTATTAAATATTGACTATAATTCCCAAACTTGTTCAGCACCTGTATTATATCTATGTCAGAATGGTTCATGCAGTAATGATATGACGTCAAAGCGATAGCTTCCCATTTGTCAACAGTGGCAATCGCGCAATATTCTCCCGCTATTCTAATCACGCGTATACCAGTACCATGGTGAGTTTGATAAAACGAAGGAAGAAAATGCAGCGAAGTAGTAAGATTTGAAACTATTTGACATCAGCAACAGTGATCAAAGGAGGTCCATTGTTTATTTCATAGTTTATAAATTTTATTCAAAAGCCTAAATAGGTATTATTGTTTGAGTTTGTGATCTCTTATTTCTGGTATATAAGCCCACTGCATGATGACGTACAATATCGGCACGCATTGAAATGGTATCGAAGAGAGGCCTACGTTCTGTAATTCTATCTTTTTGATAATCATGTAATGGGTTTATTCCATATTCCAGTCACATGTTTTATCAGGTGGACTGTTGTACGTTTATGTTTGTTTGCACTTGCGCAGAAATGGTATTTATAAAAAAAAAAAAAAAAAAAAAAAAGACGCTTTGAGAGATCCGAACTCTCAAACAATGTGTGAATAAGGATTAAAAAAATAACCTAGACTGGTAAGGATTTGCACTGTTTATTATTTCCTTTTACGGCCTCTATGAGAGTCTTGTATTGTGTCTAATTAGCCACGTGCACAGCAACTAAAATAATCATACTGAATGTCAAGCAAATTAATGCTTTAATTGTTCACAACTCGAATGATATTTTAGAGTTATTTACCGAGTCCTTTTAAACAGATATCGGCAACTCCAGTATTTGCAAAATGGCTGAGTATCGTCCGATACCGATTTCTTCCGATAGGCCACTTATCGGCCAATTACCGATGTTGGAACCGATTATCGGACCATCACTTAAGATAATTGTATAAAGTAGATGTATAATTATAATAATATCATTGTAAATATTAAGTTGGTGTAAATTTAAGACATTTTACAGAAGACGAAACTAAGTATTTTCCAGTATGTCAATATGAATATGCATGAAAGAATTCACTATTATTAGTTTTATTCTGGATATGTCTTGGTATAAAGGTAGTTATAATACACGATGAAACTACAAGACTATATATTCATATTGCATGTAAAAACTGAGAAAAAACATTCAGTGTAGTCATCAATAAGATGTCAGTTTTGCAGTGAAATTTTTTCTAAGCAATGGGGCACAATTTTTTCATTGCTTTAATGATCATATCAACTTTAGTTTTATAGAAAATATCATTGCTATACTGTAGTATATAGTATATTCAGTAACTTTCTTAATTCGCTGTATTAATTATATTTAAGACACTATATTGCCACTGGCATCAGTTGCTTGGTATTCTGTTTCAATCAAACCAGTAGTAAAGCCACCTTTTGGTTCCAGAAGGGGGCAAATAAGTAGTGATGGGGGCATTTTGGCTGCATTACATCTCACCAGTAATTCCAGTCAGATCAGTGATGCTTTTCCATTGCGTCACCGTATATTATACCAACGTGAATTATATCACTGGATTGAAAGAAAATTTCGTTTGATATAATAATCCTCAATTTTGCGATATCAAAATTTTGTTTACTTACTCTGCTGATATTTTCATTCAATTGATGCCAGTGGGAATCCGGGCTTTGTATTATTTACTATTTCCAATTTTATTGTACTTGATGTTATAACTATATGAACCGTGTTTACTGTATTTGACAGAATTAATACAGACTCGAAAGAGGACACATGCCATTGTTTTATCACTTTAAAAATCACCATTTAAAACATTTAACTGTTAACTCACCTTATTTGTCCATTTTACTCAACACTATCAGTTGTAAACTAGTTTATCATGGCTCCATTTTGTAAGAAACTATGTGCTTTAAATGATTTTCCTGTACAGGCAAACCATGCCACTTATTCTATTAAATAAGTTGCATATATTATATAATTATCTTATTTAATTATTTATAAATGTTGTAAAGATATATTTATATTTCAACTTTGTGAGGATTGAATATTTCTATTATAAGAATCTCAGTGTGTCACATGTTTAAGCTTTCTTCCATAATCACTTATTATCAATTTAACACAGTTTTCTAATTACAAAATCTCATTTTTTAAAAATATTTTTTGTTTCCATATTACATTAGATTTTAGGGCAGTTTTATCTTTGAATTTTACCATAAAAATATACATTATACATTAATAAATGTCATAACCTTAGACTATCCTAATTATCAGAATTCCAAGCACTGACCTACTTTGTGTAAGGCGTTTTTTTGCACCATTGATCTTTCAATGCCTCAAAAACCAGTAATAAAATTTAGCTCTGGTAAATTAACAGTTAACATCTTCATACAACCGTAATGACTCACCAGATTTGAGTCAAATTTTAAATAAACCTGATTGGAATATTCAAAATGTAAATGTATTTTTACCAAGAGCTGAAGATCTCGAAAGTGCTTAACAAATAATTAAAGATACATTACGGGAGATTAGATAAATAGCTGGTAGTTCACTTCTCACTATAATAGTTAAAAACTAGATAATGTAATGGAAATTTGCTGAAAATTTTAGTCAAATTGATCCACCCTGAACCGATTGAATTTTGGGCCTAGCCTCGATCATCATTACGATAAAAATACCTTAAAAAAATATAGTCTCGATTATCCATTTTTATACGCCCACATTGAAATGTGGTCGTATATTGTCGTGGACACTCTAGAGGCTAAAGTTAATATCTAATTGACTTTAAATTTATACACAGTGTTTAAGGTCTTGAGACGAAGAAGCCTATTGATTTTCAGCGATTTGCGATAATTACTGCCAGAGTTTTCAGCGATTTGCGATAATTACTGCCAGAGTTATGGCTCTTGATCACTTTGAAAAATCTTGTGGACGCTCTAGAGGCCAAAGTTAATATCCGATTGACTTTAAATTTATACACAGTGTTTGAGGTCATGAGACGAAGAAGCCTATTGATTTTCAGCGATTTCCGATAATTACTGCCAGAGTTATGGCCCTTGATCACTTCAAAAAATCTTGTGGATGCTCTAAAGGCCAAAGTTAATATCCGATTGACTTTAAATTTATACACAATGTTTAAGGTCATGAGACGAAGAAACCTATTGATTTTCAACGATTTCCGATAATTACTGCCAGAGTTATGGCCCTTGATCACTTCAAAAAATCTTGTGGATGCTCTAGAGGCTAAAGTTAACATCCGATTGACATTAAATTTATACACAGTGTTTAAGGTCATAAGATGATGAAGCCTATTGGGTTTCAGAGATTTCTGATAATTACTGCCAGAGTTATGGCCCTTGCTCACTTCAAAAAATCTTGTGGATGCTCTAGAAGCGAAAGTTAATATTCGATTGACTTTAAATTTATACACAGTGTTTAAGGTCATGAGACGAAGAAGCCTGTTGATTGTCAGCGATTTCCAATATTTGCTGCCAGAGTTATGGCCCTTGATCTTGATCACTTTGAAAAATCTTGTGGTTGCTCTAGAGGCCAAAGTTAATATCCGATTGACTTTCAATTTATACACAGTGTTTAAGGTCATGAGACGAAGAAGCCTATTGATTTTCAGCGATTTCCGATAATTACTGCCAGAGTTATGGCCCTTAATCACTTCAAAGAATCTTGTGGATGCTCTAGAGGCTAAAGTTAATATCCGATTGAGTTTAAATTTATACACAGTGTTTGAGGTCATGAGACGAAGATTCCTATTGATTTTCAACGATTTCCGATAATTACTGCCAAAGTTATGGCCCTTGATCACTTTGCAAAATCTTGTGATGCTCTAAAGGCTAAAGTTATAATTCGATTGACTTCAGATTGATACACAGAGTTTAAGATCTTGAGAAGAACAAGTATATTGATTTTCAATGAATTTTTATGACTTAAACAGTTAAATCCATGATATTAAAAGCTTTGCATACAAAACGTTAGCATGGGGCAGAACTTTATAAAAACCAAACAAATTCTAATAGTTTTCTGATAATTACTTCATGAGTTGTTGCTCTTAATCAGATTTTAGTGTATTATAAATGTTTCATTACCGAAAAAAGTAAAAATATGCGGCAACCCTTGTTGACTGCCCGGACGATTTAGTTGCTGTGGGCGTATGTTTCGTTGCCTGGCAACCTATCTTTTGATTTAATCGGAAGCAGCAGTCCGTGTTCTAATCCAGCTTATATATCGCAGGCTAGCAATGCCATCGAGCGTTGGTTATGGTCTGGATAAGTTAATGTCTAATTAATAATTTAGATAACATTTCGGGCCTAAAGAAAGACCTGCAATTGGCAGATTTAGCTCTTGCATAATGTATGTTTAAGTACATGTTTCAGAATGTTGCCATACTGTTACTTATATATATACCCACAATGAAAGAGAAATTTCCCATTCATCTTCTGCAAATAACCAAAATATCTTCCATGCTGTATTACTTTGTGCCTTTTGTATTGAATAAATTGTCTAAATGTTAAGTTACGTATATGTGCTGATGTACATACATTGTTATGTTATTTAGCTGTCCATTTTCTTCAGAGATACTGATTTATATAATTTCATATACTGGTAAATTCTTTGTAATTTTTATACGCCCACATTTTCTTTGCCCCTGTCCGTCCAGACATCCACCTATCCATCCATCCATCCACAATTTTTTTTTTTTTTTGTTGACACTCTAGAGGTCACAATTGTTCTCCAATTTTAAAAAGCATTTGGAATCTAGAGGTCACAATATTCATCCGATTTTGATGAAACTTGAAATGCATGTTTATAACCCAAAGATCTTGGTTCCTTTCGATAATCGTGCATATCGGATTGTAACTTCCTGGATTATGACTCCTGATTGTACGAAAAATAAAGTTTTTAGCTTGTGGATCCTCTAGAGGTTACAATATTAATCCCATTTTAAAAACTGTTCCAACATAATGAATGTTGAGTTAGATATCGAAATGAAACTGCCCAACAAAATTGCCACTCCTTGTGTAAAAGTATGTAATACAAAGGTTGTGGACCTTTTGGCTTGTTCAGTAACCATCTCTTGCAAAATGTGGGCGTATCTTGTCTCGCAACCTCTGGTTGTAATATGGAGTCAATTTTCTTATTTTGGTCTTTTGAATAGTCATAATATTATACTTGTATAATTTTTTTTTTAAACATCTTATTAAATTATAAGCCATAACATGCTAGAATAAGGTTAAATTAAGACCATACATAATCAACATTATTCAAATCAAACACTTTTAACATAAATTATGGCTACTTAAAGTTTACATTGGTTTTTGTATTAAGCAAACAAAGATAATCAAAATTGACAAAATTTGACTATCTTTTTTGTGGAAACCAACTTTTTTTTCTATAAGTTTTTTTAATACTTGGATGTTCTTAATTACATAACAACATCATTCTTCATACATTAGAATATTTTTACCTTTAACAATGAGATTTATTTATGTTATGAGGTTATATCAGGGAAATATATACATTTTAAAGCACCAAATATACAAAACTAGGTACTTACTATAGTCTATATTAGTGTTATAACATTATAAATAATGATGTCTCAATATGAAAGGACCTTACAATAGCCAATATCAGTGTTATAATGTTTTAAATAGTGTCTCTGTGTATGAGTAAAGGACTTTATCAGTGTTATGAATTATGATGTCTGAGTGGATGAGTAAAGGACCTTACTATATAACCAATATCAGTGTTATAATATAAATAATGATATCTTGACTCTCGAGTCTTGAGTGAATGAGTAAAGGACTTTATTATAGTCAATATCAGTGTTATAATATTATAAATAATGTCTGAGTGTGTAAGAGTAGGGTAAATATGATATGTTGCTATTTTTGTTGTAGGACTACTCTCTGTAACTGCAGCTTGTGGCAGTCATGTCTATTGCTGACAAGAATGCATATATTTACAGGTCTTGGTATTTGTGCACACAAAAACATGATTCCGGTAAAAGAATACTGAATAAGAATTGGTGGCAATAATAATTATAAAAGTAATAGTCACTAGCACTACTAGTCATTTTGTTAAATTATTTATTTCTATATCACTAGGTCTATATGTATGCACATCACCCACCAGAATGTAAATAAATCATAGCTTATTGACCTTGTCTGAAAATTTCATCTCAAAATATTGAGCCATTTGGAAGTGTGATTGCTAAAATGATTAATTTTGGTCAGTTGTTTACAAGTAATGGCTGTTGTAATGAAGCCCACAAAACATGACAAGTTTATAGATTCGATTATCTAGACACTACTGCCATTGTTAGTTGGGAAACTTGTTGCCAATTGAAGTAAAACTGACAAATATTCCGAATAAACACTTGAATCTTTAACACAGAATTAACCAGTTTTATTCACTAAAATATATCTGGGATTACTCCTTTAACATTTTAAGTATTTTACATTTTTGCTCAATGCTAATTTGTATTATTAAAGTAAACCTGATAACTGCATACATTTCAAACTGAACCCTGTAATTACATGTATTGGGTGAGGTGGTGACATTTTAGATAATTTAGTTAAGTTTTGTTTAATGTTATTGAATGTTGTTATTATATGTTTATTATGAAAAGATAAAAGTTTGTATTATTTACAAAGATCTGAACATAAAACAAAAGAAATAAATAGGCTTTAATATATTGTTAACATTCCATAAACACAGGTTGATCTTCAGTTAATACAGAGATTAATCAACTTACAGTGCTGCAATTATGTAAGAAATAGAAAAGAACAACTATTAATAGAAACATATAGGGGGGTAAATTGTTATATTCATAACTCTATTTATATATGTAGTCTTTATGCTTAGTTGAAGTTTAAAGAGATCACAATAATCAATGTTATTATGAGGTGACATCTACAAAATAATTTACAAAAATACTAAATAGCCTTTAGAACAGGTTAGATACAGCCTATTAGTTTTCTTAATTTTTGTAATTTATTTCAGGGCAATAGAAAAATGTAGATTTTACAAATGTACAACACTTATTTTTGCCATTGTCATTTTTAAAGGATGGTTCCTAAATATTCAATTTTTTAAACATTTTTCTTTTTGACATTTAAGTCATTTGAGAGGGTAATTAATTTTGAATAGTATCATATTCAACAAAAATTTAATTGATTACCCAAAATTCAAGCACTGGCATAATATTACATAGTAATATAATTTCAGCACAAAATATAGTCCTAAAAATAAACACCAGTTTAAATGCACAGTCCATGCAGAAAATATTTTAAATTTATTTATAGTTACAATAAATAAACATCACTATAATATTAATAATATCCAGCACTATTCTAAAAAGTGTGTACTATTGTGGGTTCTGTTTGTGTGCGGTGCGGTCCTCCAGCACTTACTATTTATATAGAATTATACTTACATAAAGCTACAAGCTGTACAAATTTAAGACTACTTTCTTAATCAAAAATTTATTAGCCATTTTCTAAAATTATTGTATTAATAATTATTTTGTCCTATTCCCAATACAGAAAGACAACAAGCAAAATTGATGTTAATAAATAATCATTTTTATATGAATTCTATTCGTGTTCAATGTCTATTTTTTAGGATTGTCACTAGGCCTAGTCTTTGTTTATACCTGCTTGAAATGTTTTTTAAGATCTTGAAAATTATTATTTGGTTTAATCTGTATTTGTAACGTATGAATAAAAATGTGCATTAATGATTTTGTTTATATCGAAAGATTAAAAAAAAAACTTTATTCTCCCACTCTTTTCATTCTTAAGGTGACAATTAGGTTCGCCTGTCCAACCTCATGGTTTTCTCCGGGTCCTCCGGTTTCCTCCCACAGCTAAAGATCCCTAGGCGCAAGCGATTTATTGAAATGAATTTGAACCATGTGTTAGCCCCGAAATGACCTAATTTGTGTCGAATGGACGTTAAACCCCTCTCTCCATTCTTAATTTTTTTCGAAATTTTGATTATCATTAGCCTAAGGGAGGTAACCCTATTTAATTTTAATATCAAACGGTCTCAGACTAGCACTTATTTGCCCATTGACTTCAATGTTAAATGGCTGTAACATCACAGGCTGTAGCTTTTTGCTCAACATTCCGTTGGTTCCAATCTTTATAGGCACAATGGGGACCACATTTGGCAATATCCTCATCATAAATTTGTAGGGGGTTGACCATTTAGATTTTTTGCTACGGGGATTTGAAGTTGACTGGGGTGAAAATCGCACTTCCGACACAACGATTGCTCTGCAGAAAGACACTTTACACCCCCTATCCTAGATAACAAACCTTAATCTCTCAACCCTCCGTGTTTCGAGATAAGAGATGATGCCATTGCCTTCAATGTAACACATGTGGGAGCGATTCGCACCCGGATTTGTAAAGAAAATTGACAATATTTTTAATCAAAACAACGATTGGTTATTGTTATTTATAATATTCCTGCCACACCCAACTACAATTAAGCATATAATCCTACCTGAAACGGGTACAAATCCCCTATTTTTAAATCAAAGCGACAGTAGATTGTTTTTTCCGACATTTTAAATTTACTTCTGTAACACATAAAGGCGGGGCCTCGTGTGCAATAGCCAGTCAAAGTTCCCATCTGATCAGAGTTGCGTAGAAGTAATACGGCGTAATTATGAACGTCCGAATCAATTGTGATAAAAACAACGCTTGATTTACAAGTCAATATTTGCTGATAAACGAATGTTGTTTCAGTAGATTGGACTGCGTATGTGTAATAAGTACTAATAGTATAAAATTCACTTATTTTTAAGATGGTACATACATTAATAAAGAAATTGAGTTTGCCACTTGGAACTAAAGGCATCCAATCATAGCTAAAAACAAGCACATCAGTATATCTCAGCGTTTTTAGTTACGTTCTAGTCGCTACCCCTATCCCTTCGCTGTAATATCATCAGTATTACCCAAAACTGCTATGAAATTGCAAATTTGATCCCTTTTCTCCAATTCTAGACCAAAAAGTCAACCCAAAAATGCAGGAAGAGGGGAGAAAAAAATTATGGGGAAAATTGTCTATTTATAACTCGCACTACATTCGTCTATTAATAACTCGCACTACATTCGTCTATTTATAACTCGCACTACATTCGTCCATCATGAAATAAGGGGAAATAATTATTAGTCTTAGTCCAAACAAGAGATGAAATGAAATGGGGTTTAACGTCCTATACTGTTCTGCTCCGACTGATTAATGTAAAACAAGGAACAAGTGTACGTAGCACCATGGGTCGTCTGTCAGACGTGGAGAGCGGCCATCGTTCAAAAGCGGTCGCCACATCCTACGTATGACCCATGCATCTTTTCTTACTACATATCTTGAGATCGTCTAGTATTTTCACCTGTCGTCTTTGCTTCCACTTTACGTTGTGTATTCTATTCTTCTTGTCTATCTCAGTAGTTCAGACGTTTGTCTTACCAGGAATAACAATGCAACAGTTCGTTTTTACATTTTATATATCATAGCTGGATACGTAGATACAAGCGTAGTAAATTACAGTAAAGTCATTCTCTCAAACCCCATCCGGGGTGAGTCTGCTGATAGAAATTGCTACATCTTTTCCCTTCTACAATCAAGCTGCTCACGTATATACTAAACAGCAAAAAAACCGTCAGTACGATTTCAAAATCAGAGAGGCACTTTAATCGAATCATTCTAGAAAACGACTTACTAAATGGATCAAAGTAATTTTTTATACGCCCACATTTTCATGTGAACGTATTATGCCGTGGCCCATGTTTGTCCGTCCTTCCGGACGCCCGTCCACAATTTGTTTGTGGACACTCTACAGGTCACAATTTTTATCCGATTTCAACGAAACTTGAAATATAGGTTTAACTCCCTACGATCTCAGTTCCTTTCGATGTTTGCATGTATCGGACCGTAACTTCATGGGTTATGGTCCCTGATTGTACGAAAAATCGCGTTTTTAGCTTGTGGACACTCTAGAGGTCACAACTTTGATCCGATTTTGATGAAACTTGAAATGCATGTTTATAACCCAATGATCTTGGTTCCTTTCGATATTCGCGCATATCGGGTCGTAACTTCCTGGATTATGTCCCCTGGTTGGTCGAAAAATCGCATTTTTAGCTTGTGGATTCTTTAAAGGTCACATTTTTTTTTCGATTTTAAAAACCGTTTAGATCACCATTCCACCATAATGAAGGTTGGATTGGAATTTCGATAAATTGAAATGAAACTGTCCGACAAAATGGCCGCTCTTTGTATGCAAATTGTATATAAGTGTGCAATTCAAAGGTTATGGACTTTCTAGAGGTCACAATTTTAATCCAGTCATAATTTGGAACAGAAATTTGCTTTCATTACACCAGTGTTAAGCGGGTTGAGCTCTAATCAAACGAAACACTGTTGTTGAGTGGGATTAGGTCTAATCAAACGAAACTCTGCTATCGAGCGTTTCAAGCCAAACAAATTCACTGAAGCTCTTTGAAACTTGATGTATTATGAAATATGCTTTTTATACGCCCACACTGAAATGTGGTAGTATATTGTCGTCGCCCCCGTCGGTTCGGCGTCCACCATTTTTTGTGGACGCTCTAGAGACTAAAGTTAACATCCGATACACAGTGTTTAAGGTCATCAGACAAAGAAGCTTATTGATTTTCACTGGTTTCCGATAATTACTGCCAGAGTTATGGCCCTTGATCACTTTGAAAAATCTTGTGGATGTTTTAGAGACCATAGTTATCATCTGTTTGATTTTATATTTATACACCGTGTTTATGCATAGATATAATCGTTTCGACTGACACACAGAGTTTAAGGTCTTGAGACGAACAAGTACATTGATTTTCAATGATTTTTGGTAACTTGAACAGCTGAATCCATGATATTAAATGTTTTGTATACTAAACGTTAGTCTGGGCCAAATAAATTCTAATGTTTTTCTGATAATTACTTAATTACTTATAAGTGTATTATAAATGTTTCATTACTAACAAAAGTAAAAATATGCGACAACTCTTGTTGACTGCCCGAACGATTTAGCTGCCATGGGCGTATGTTTCGTTGCCTGGCAACTTATCTTGCGCTGTATTTGTATTCAATTTTAAAAATCTGACCGAAACGGTCAGACAAAATGGCTTTCCTTGTACGCAAATAGTGTAAAAGTATGTAATATAAAGGTTGTGGACACTCTAGAAGTCATAATTTCCATCCGATTTTGCTGAAACTTGAAATGTATGTTATAATTCAAAGATCTCAGTTCCTTTCCATATTTGCGCACTTCAGACCATAACTTTCTGGGTTATGGCCCCTGATTGTACGAAAAATCGCTTTTGTTTTTAGCTTGTTCTCTATCCATCTCTTGCAAAATGTGGGCGTATCTTGCCTGGCAACCGCTGGTTTTATTCTTTTTTAAAAATTTCTGGGTTTATTAAAATGTGCTATCTCACATAATATAAATTGGAATGTTGTTGCAAGTCATGTTTCTAATTGGGGGTTGAGGTGGGGCGTGGTTTGGCGTGGCATTACCTTCATGTAAATTGGTGATGGGGCGTGATAAATGAAATGAAATGGGATTTAACGTCCTAATTAGGAGATAATAACTCCCGTGTCCTAATTAGGGGGTAGAAACTCCTAATTAGGCTTTAGCGTTCACAAGGTTTTCGGAAAAGGCGGATAGCTCCGGAACGGAATAGAAGGTCCTTCCATCAATGCTTCACACAAAATTTGAAAAATATCAGGTATAAACTGTAGCTTACAGACAGGGTATAGCCTGAGAATGCAAGGGAGGATTGCAGAACTCTGAATATCGATCGGGTTTGTCCCCTCACAACCCAAATGATTCAAACTAAATTTGAAACAAATCCGTTAAAACTGTAGTCTCTATCGTGTTAGGAAGGATTTCGGAAAATTTTGGACGGAACGTTGCGGAACGTTGCGGAACGCTGAATATTGATAAGGCTCTCGCTCTCGTGACCCCAATGCTTATTTTTTAAAAAAGAAATCCTCTAAAATCGGAAGCATCTATCGCAGTTACAAGCTTTTAGGCGTGGGGTAGGGGTGCTGAATATCGACAGGGTCTGTCCTCTCATGAACCGGGGTCTTCCCATATCGCCGACTCACCGAGTTTTGGAAAGTCGACCGCGGCACCCTTTGATTGGATTAAAACGGATTAAAAGCGTTAATGAGGCAGGGACCAGTCTTTATTAATATAGTTCACTGAAATTGATTTTTACCACAGACTTTTATTGACTTTTTTGCCGAAACAATTATTAAAATTCGTGAAAAGTTTGTTGACTCCCCCCCCCCCTTACACTGACATTAATGTCCCACCCCAGTGTAATTTCTCTGCTTTTGAGCCATTGAATGTTGATGATGTAATATCAGTGGTGTGTCGAATGAAGTGTAAGTCATGTGCTCTGGACCCAATTCCTTCAAAACTACTAAAAGAGTGTCTGGATGAAATAGCACCAGCTTTGACGATTATTATAAATGATGTGCTCTCCTCTGGTATTTTTCCGGATGATTGTAAGGAGGCCATTGTAAGACCTCTGATTAAAAAAACAAGTCTTGACCATAATGCACTCAAAATTTATAGACGAGTGTCAAATATTTCATTTTTAGCAAAATTGCTTAAAAAGATCATTTTATCTCAAATAATAGATTATCTCACTCGAAACTCACTGCTCGGTAAATTCCAGTCTGCTTATCGAGAGGGGCATAGCACTGAAACCGCACTCCTTAGAGTGCATAAACATGTTATAGATATGAACAAGGAAGACTGAATTTATTAGAATTTTTGTACTATGTTGGACTGCATGCAAAAATTTAAAATTGTGTTATGTTATGTAGTATTAATTTAAAAAAAAAATAAATGCTCCCAAAATTATCTGCTTAATAAGGTTTATCCTTTAGCTTGGGTCTATTGTTCTTGGCCACTCATTCCCATAACGTCGACCAAAATTTTCCCCCTAAAACTCGGTGAGTCGGCAATATGGGAATGAACCAATGAACCCTTCGATAGGTGATTAACTCGAAAGATCACGTAACGCTGTATGTCCAAAGTGCTTCACACCAAATTTGAAAAATAATCCGTTGAAAACTGTAGCCTCTGTCGCGTTTACAGCAATGGCAAACTGATCAGTAGTGAATATTCACTAGGTCGCTACAAACACGGCATTTTGCCGTTCAAATAGAAAACGCGAAAACGTCCGGCTTTCAAGGCTGTATTGTCTGTCAGAGATAACATATTGTCATTTGCAATCATGGGGTCTGACAGTGACACAGAGGAAGTCTTTCTTTTGTATTTGTGGACACAAAGACAAAAGAGAGTAGGGGTCCATGAACTGTTACAAACATGATCATTTCCTCTGTCTTGTCTATGTTGTGTTCTTGACAACACTACACAAATCCACAGCACACAAGGCCAGGCTTTTCTTGGAATGGATTGAGTTTCTATTTGGGGAGATGACGTAATAAGGCTCACTAGCCGAAATGCCGGACGCACTTTACAAAAATACGCTCTGGGAGCAATCAATCCGGCTTAACGGACGCAGTTGTTTTTGTGCGCAATACGTGCCGGATTCTATTTGAACCCTTTCTCTAAAAATGACTAAATAATACCAGTACGTATTCACACACGTATTTACAGATACGGATACGGATGTAGTATGAACCGACCTTAATGAGCTCGCGATATTAACTTTTTTCCATCTGCAAATTAAATTATAAAACATTTTTTTGAAGTATTAGTAAAATAAATAAAGGTGTTTGGAGTATATCTAGATAAAAAAAATATTTAGCGGCAATACTTTGGTTACAACTTGTTTTGAAGCAGAATCGTCAAAAATGTCATTGGTAATCTCAAACTGTAGTTTTTCCTTTTTGTTGGGTCTGGACTCGTATTCTTCGACGATTAGCCCCTAGACAATAATTATTTGATAATTTGGTGTTATAATATATTACTTAAGATACTTCGCGTTTTGGTTCCATCAAAACGCATTTAAATTTAAGTCAGACCATCCTCGGTATCCCCTAGATTGGTGGTTTCATTCCGTTCTACTCCACTAGCCCGTGGGTTAATCTATGGTGGGGGGGGGGCACGTTTTTAAGTTATCCGCCCTTGATGATTGTGCTATTTTTATCGACTAATCCCATAAATCGTTAATTGCAAAGGAAGTTGACAAAGGGAGGTAACTCTCATCGGACAAGCTTAGGAGTTGTCCTAAATGAGAGAAGTCCAAATTATGTTAAATGCGTATTTATTAACAACAAATTATATAACATTTTATTAATGAAGATCGGACGTCCATATATGTTCAAGAGTTTTAGTAAGAATCGTTCGTTCGTTCGCGGAGTTTTACGTCCACGTGATATCGTAGACAAGTTCTTGAGAATCAAATTGTCCAGTATAAGTTCAATAATAATAAAAATAACAGAATGAAACATTTCAGACAAAGAACGAATATTTTGATAATACAATTAAATATAAATGAATTAGAAATATATACATTATTTACATAAATCATTCTGTAAATGGACATGAATATGGTTATCTACCCTTATAAATACGGAGCCGAAACGACGGGTTTGTAAACTGTTTCTCGAATGGTTCGTAGACTATAGTTACAATCTAGGCCAGGGCAGATAATTTGAAATCGTGGAAAGCCTATGGATAAACCCAGGATATAGTGGAGTAGCACGGAATGACTGGGGATACCGAGGATGGGGTCAGACTAGAAAGCGGATTTTTGCAGGGATTGTAAACGTTATGATCCTTTTTGCTAGTGTTGGGGCGGTTTCTTTTTAACAGGTATCATACATCAGCCGTAGCTTAGGTGTTTGGTTACTTACTTGCGTTAGGCTGGAGACCCCACATTCCCCAGTAGCCCCCACCATGGTTAATTCGGCGCTGCAAGTTAGCAGAACGTTAAATATCGATTAGGCTCTCCCTGTCATGACCCCGAGCTTAATTTTAAAATCAAGTCCCCCAAAGCACGTAAAATGTATCAGAATTAAATTACTTTGGCCTTAAATAAGTTTGTTAGAGGGCTTTTATACATAAGGTTACCAGGAAACAAATGACTTTTCATTTTATCAGTTCACAACCGGCAACATTTATGTTTTCATCGCTAAATGGACATTGTTTAAGAACAGACATTAAATACCATTTGCTATGTAAGGCCTAATATATTATCTTACAAGCATTAGTAATATAATTTAATATACTTTTAGAAACCTCTGTAAACGTTATTCTACATGTATGTTCTTGATGTTTATTATTGTATTGTACTTTGTATTGTATGCTTTACCATACTCGTGTATATATACCATGCAGTTGTGTAATAAAGCATTATTATTATTATTATTATTATTATATTATTATTATTATTATTATTATTATGTACCAGTTTATGCAATAGGCATTCTAAAATAATAATAATAATAATTTAGAAAGGCGTTGAAAACTTTCGTGTCACCCCTTTTTAAAATGTGGACATAAACAACTGACTTTCAAATGGTTAACGCCCAAATTGTGATAAAGACATGGTTTACATTTCTACACATATTGTGTATAGGACTAATGTGGTAGTCAGTTTTACTGGGTTACTTGTTCACTGATCCATGGTAGGTTATTATATAGACTGTTTAACATTTACAGGCCTTATATACTGTACATACTGGCCAACCCGGAGTTATTTAGCACACTTAAAGTTACATACACGCACAGTATTGCCTAGAAACCCAAAGTAGCCTTATACTAGCAAATTTGGGTTGAGCAGCTTTTGCAAGTAAGCTTACCTCTGTGTGTGTGTGTGCAATCTATGTAAGGAATGTATGCAATTGGGGCACTAGCTTGCTGCTCGAACTATTAAAGTGAATACACAGTAAGTATTCAGTACACAATATAGGTAATGCCTTTTCGTTGTTTTATGTAATGGCGATTATTCCAGTAGATTGGACTTGAAATGAAACGTAATCGGTTTATAATTATAATAAAACTTATATGGTTAATTGGTAGTAGTCAAAACTTGGCCGAAAAGTATGAAGACTGATTATAAAGACATGTGAGTCAGTGTTAAAAATATGTAACAAAGTTACAGAAGTTAAAACCATATACTGAGTGAATCTCTGGAGTTACATTACTGTTAACGACTAACAGCATCACAGGAAGGCGTGCAACCGGGCATTGTCTAGCATTGTATTATTAAATGTGAATAAGTATTCTTAATGGTCTTACTATTAAACTTAAACAGAATATGTCTAGGTTTAAAGTTTACCGCTGCTCTAGTACATAATATAATGTTTTTAATTTCATATTTACATTATGTTTTACAAACGTGTAAGGAAATGATATGTACAAACACCGTATGAAGCTATAGCTATTTATAATATATAACTGGAAAATTAATTACAATGAAACAGTTCGTTTTATAAAATTATTGTGTAGCATGTGCAGAGGGTTATTTGAGGGTTAAGTCTGTGTTGTAGACTATATACTAATATAGATTATTGTTATTGCTTGATCAGTGGCGTATTTGTTCTTATTCCACTCCCCACCCCACAGACACAATCAGTATGACCTCATACACCCACCTTTTGGATCGTTAATAAGACGCTCCCTAAAACTACCAAACTAATGTTGTTTTGGTGGTATTTAACCTTAAAAATGTGCTGGTTGATGGCTATCTCTCGATACATTTAATATTAATTTAAGTTCTTTAAAACGTTTGTGCATCCTATTTCGGAAATCCTAGAACCCTGTATACGCCACGTACTGTGCATGATCAGTAGGCATATAACTCCCACTGTCTCCCAGGGTGTGGGTGTGAAGGTGGGTGGCGGGGCTCTACTAGCAATCTCTACAGTACCTGCCTCTTCTACATTGTCTTCAGCAATTTTTCCACACCACCTCCATATTCCTGAAGCAATGCCCTGGAAATCCCTCTTTGGCCATTGCTGGATTTACTTATGATACTTGTCACACTTGAGCTTTTGATGGAGTGTGTCTATTCCTTCCGTTCAATCAAATCTCTCCTAATACAGCAACATGACAGTCCTTCGTTTAATCTGGGGTCTTCCCTAAAACTTTGGACACTGAATTGGTATTTAAAACGGTGAAAGTATTGTTCGTCTCCAAACAGTATTGTTTACATTGTAGCTTGTCACGCAATTAGCTTTTCTGCAATATTCTGTAATGCACTGATTAATTGGGCATACTAAATTTCGTGAGCCATGACGTAACGTTATGTAAACATATGTGGGTCTCTGTTTAAACCCGAATGACATTGTTACGCAGTTAGGCATTGGTTGTTAATCGGACTATTGACCAGTCATAATTTGGAACAGAAATTTGCTTTCATTACGGCAGTGCTTGAGTGGGATTAGGTATAATCAAACGAAACACTGCGAGGAGCATGCACCACCTCCAGTAATATCATTTCTACCTCTTTTACATCTACCTCCTCTACACCACTTCCGGTAATATCATTTCTACCTCTTCTGCATCTACCTCCTGTACACCACCCCGTCACCTCTGATATATTTATTTCATGTACACCACCCAATCACCCATGTATCAACCCCCTATACACCATACCGTTCACCCATGTTATATCTGTCTTATTTAATCCCAATAAAAAAGATAGGTTGCCAGGCAACGAAACATACGCCCACAGCAGCTAAATCGTCCGAGCGGTCGACAAGGGTTGTCGCATATTTATTCCTTTGTAGGTAATTGGGGGCCTTTACAAGACAGTTCCATACAGATCAGATTATATTTTTTGCTGTTCGAGGGTTCACAATGTTCTACAAATTGAAACAAGTGTCTCAACTCTGGAAGTAATCTACAGAAATTGTTGAAATTTGACAGGCTTTTTCGTTTCACAAATTTAAATGATGCATATAAATTTCATACATATCGGATGATAACTTTCATCAATCGAGCATTAACAAGGTTGAACAAAGTCAAACAAGGGCAATAACTCTAGAAGTAATAAACTGAAATTCAATAGGATTCTTCTCTTTACTAATTTAAATGACGCCCGTAAATTTCATACAGATCAGCATATAACATTTGGCATTAGAGCTTTCACAAGGTTCAACAAAGTGAAACAAGGGCCATAACTCTAGACATTATAAACGGAAATTATTGAAATTAAATAGGCTTCTTCGTTTCACTAATTTAAATAATGCATATAAATTTCAGAAAGATAGGATGATAACTTTTGGGGTTAGAGCGTTCACAAGGTTAAACAAAGTGAAACAAGGGCCATAACCCTAGAAGTAGTAAACGGAAATTGGTGAAATTCAATAGGCTTCTTCGTTTTCCTAATTTAAATATTGCATATAAATTTCACATAGATCCGATGATAACTTTTGGCATTATAGCGTTCACAAGGTTCAACAAAGTGAAACAGGGGCCATAACTCTAGACTTTATAAACGGAAATTATTGAAATTAAATAGGCTTCTTCATCTCACTAATGTAAACAACATATATCAATTTTAAAACAATTGGATGATAACTTTTGGCGTTAGAGCGTTCACAAGAAATTGTGGACGATGGACGGACGGACGGACGGACGGACGGACGGACGGGGGCGACGGCAATATACGTCCACATTTCTATGTGGGCGTATAACAAAAACAGTTGTGTTTCATTTCTAATCTACTATTCCTCTTTTATTGCCATTTTTAATATAATCTATGTCACAGATTAAACCAGTATATTTTGTTTTATCAGTGACGCCATGGACCGTGTGTATTAACTAGTTTAATTATAAGATCCATTTTAGATAATTTAGACCAGCTTTTCTACAGTTGCTATTTTCTGCAACTTTAATGGTCGCCGAGCCGCAGTGAAGCATTTCATGTTTTTACTCTGTGTTAAAACGTAGAATATATTTAACAGTTGACCGATCCCTTTCAATACCTTATAATCTCATTTTTATAATCAGTCGATATTATACTGGATTATGGTAATATGAAATCAGACAATTGGACGGAGAATTAAATATCTCCAAGGGTGGTTGTTAAAACTGAATTATTTGAAACTGTATAATCATTGTTGATATTTTGTAGAAATGGATAAATACATGAAGCACAAGTTACCTACATGGTTACAACCCGTGTTTAAATCTCAGAGAACCCAGACTGTTGAACAGGTACCAGCACCAATGAAAGAGTTGTATATAAGATCTGGATTTCGAGTGATGAACCAACCATGGAGTTATTATTTACTTAGTTTATTTAATTGGCATAATGAAACTCTAAATGTGTGGACACATCTTGTGTCATTCGTTGTGATATGGAACTACACAGACCATCTTGGTGAGACTTTCGATCTGAAAGGTTCGAGTGCTGGAGCTGTTATTCTTGGATATTCCATTGGAGCTTTATTACTCACTCTTCTCAGTTCCGTCGCCCATTTGTTCCACGCGAAATCATTAAAGCATCATTATCTATTCTTTGCTCTAGATTATATAGGTGTGTCTTTATACTGTTTTGGCTGTGGTATATTAACACATTATGTATTCAGTCCCAGTGAAACATTCCTTGTTTTGAGAAATACCTACATTCCAGTACATTTCTTTCTGTGTTTTAATAGTTTCTTATCTTGTACTGTAGCTAAATTATATTTTCACGGCAACAAGCGGAAGATGATAATGGTATCAGGATGTTTTGCCCATACCCTGTGGTTGTTAATACCTATATTTGCCCGATATTATTATTGTATAGTAGACACGTCATGTTCCGTGTTATCATTAAACCACCTTGTTGCAATGTACATCTGCCTGATGGCGACTAGTGTAGCGTATGTCGCCCATCAACCCGAAAAATCAAACCCTGGAGCGTTCGATATTATTGGACATAGCCATCAAATATTTCACATTTTTGTGTTTTTTACAATATTGGCACAATTTAACGCCATGACCTACGAACTGGGTATGACCAAGTCAGTTAATGAAGACCTGACAGTCAACCACGTCTATACTGTTCACATAATTTTAATAGTTATGGAAATTACAGCAGTTATATTTTTATTACCTCAGCTAAACAAGAAAGTTAAAGATATAGAAAGTTGTGCCAGTGTTAAACAGAACTAAATAATTGTGCGTGATTTGGATCGGCTAAATAACTGAGGCACAAAAAAAAAAGAAATTCTACAAACGCTATAATAAAATTGTAAGAAATGCATATAATTACAGCTATCTCTATACGTATACTGAATATGACTAGTTCCATCAAAAACAACATTATCCATCTAAACTAAAATGACCTAAATAACACGACAGATGATTAATTTTCCCCAGGCTAGCTGTAAATTAAAAAAGGGTGTAACTTGTATATTCAAACTTGAAATTCGATCTGTATATTATTTATTATTTAAAGCGAGTGGTAGCACAGTTATAATTCAATAACGTATCTTGAATGTTTTGTACTTTTTACAGTTAGAGATAGGTGGACGCACTAGAGGCTTGTGGACGCTCTAGAGGCTAAAGTTAATATCTGATTGACTTTAAATTTATACACAGTGTTTAAGGTCATAAGACGAAGAAACTTTTTGGTTTTCAGCGATTTCCGATAATTACTGCCGGAGTTATGACCCTTGATCACTTTGAAAAATCTTGTGGGCGCTCTAGAGGCTACAGTTAATATTCGATTGACTATAAATTTATACACAGTGTTTAAAGTCATGAGACGCAGAAGCCTAGTGATTTTCAATGATTTCCGATAATTACTACCGAGTTATGGCCTATGAATACTTTGAAAAATCTTGTGGATGCTTTAGAGACCAAAGTTATCATCTGATTGACTTTTGATTGATACACAGAGTTTAAGGCCTTGAGATAAACAAGTATATTGGTTTTCAATGAATTTTGATAACTTGTACAGCTAAATCCATTTTATTAAATGTTTCGTATACAAAACGTTAGCATGGGGCAGAACTAAAAGCCAAACAAATTCTAATAATTACTTAATGAATTGTTACTCTTAATCAGATTTTAGTGTATTATAGATGTTTCATTACCGACAATAGAAAAAATATGCGACAACTCTTGTTGACTTCACGGACGACTTAGCTTATGTGAGCGTATGTTTCGTTGCCTGGCAACCTATCTTTTTATACTTTCAATAGCCTACACTACAGAGGATCTGAAAAGTTGTACTCGAAGGTTGTGTCAGGGGTCGTACGAGCGGCTTTTGACCCTATGACGTCAGACATTGATTAATCAATCAGTTGACGTTTCTAGTGGTTTACCCACAGTTCCGTGCATAGCACGCCAAGAAGTCGCCGTGACAGACCGTTTCATTGGCTTATCCCTCACTTCAACCAAAGTCCCGGTAATATAACAACTCTTGCAGATCCTAGTGTAGTAAAGACAAGTAAAACGAAATTTTAGACTATAAAAAACGAAACGAAATATGGTCTGTGTTTTTATCAGATTGTATTGTGCGTGGTTATTTTAACCGAAAATCTCTCAAATTAGTCTCAAGTCCGTCTAGCCCGGCCAGCTAATTTCTGATTACTGTTCTTCGAATTCCAACCGTCATCTTTCCCTTCAGGTAATTATCGCCAAATTATAACTTTTCACCGATAGTTAAATTAGTGGAAATAACCCGAACAAATAATCGAATATTTTACCTTATTGTTCATTTGTCGACCCATTTTCTATGATGAGACGAGAAGAGGCATATATAATTAAATAGGGGGCTATGTAGATGTTACATAAGTATAGGCAGTCTATATACCAGTATGTAACTATAACGATATTTATTCATCTATTTTCCATGACAAACAGCTGTGATATAAATTAAACATTATGCAAAATAATATACACGTATTCGTGAATGCTTAATATTAGATTTAACAATATTTTATATATATATATATATATTTTCTGGAACCTATATTGTTTATTTTCTTTGACTATTTTCTTATATTCTTTACATTATAAAATATATTTTGTGTGTTGTATACAGTTTAACGGGTATGACTAATAAGTTTAATCATAAAACATATAACCCTGAATAAAAACCCTATTACACCAGCAATATTTGTATCAAACCTTACTTTAATCAGTCTGCCGGATTTAGATTATTTCCTGGAAAAAGATCCCACCAAAGCAAACTTGGTCTCAAATGAAAGGTGGGGTCCGTAGGTACTCCAGAAAAAAATGACCTAACATGATCACTTGGGGAAAAGTTTTGGGGCAGGGTCAGAGGGCAAGGTCGAACAATTAGAAAAAAAGCAGCCAATATCTCAAAAACTATCAATGTTAGACCCTATAAATGTATTATCAACATATGGGAACTCTATATCTCTGAGTCGGATAGGACAGTCTGCATCCACCTATGACGTCACATGAACAACCAAAGCACACATCTTGTCAAAACTACAAAAAGTGATAACTTAGCTCAGAATAAAGTAATCTGAATGAAATTTTCAATATTTTCATTTTGCATTATCTTTTTTTGAACCATCAAGCACGAACGACCGCTCTTATCTAAATCTTACATAATGTATCTTTAATATTTAATTACTAAACTACTGAGGCAGAGAGAGAGAGAGAGAGAGAGAGATGGGGTTGAAGATCTGCCTTGGACTTGTCCCAATTTTATCAATTTTATTTCAATAATGTGCTTGCGTGTAGGGGTCTTTATCAGATATCAGAGAGAGAGAAATGGGGTTTAACGTCCACTCGACACAAACTAGGTCATTTCGGGACTAACATATAGTTTTTAATTTTATTTCAACAATTCGCTTGCGCATAGGGGTCTTTAGCAGTGGGAGGAAACCGGGGGACCCGGTGAAAACCCACGAGGTTGGACAGATGACCCTATTCCTTGTCACGTACAAGCCGGGAATCGAAACCACGCTACTTGACTCAATGACAGACCCCTTGATGCAACGCGCACGCGTTAACACCCCCCCCCCACACACACACACCAAATTACTAAGATGTCCACGTATTATTATCGTTGAATGTACGTATAACCCTTTCGCTTTTTCCTCATTTGTTAATTTGTTTGCTTGATAATCAGTGAAATCTTGTCGAAGCGTCGTGTGTTATATTATTATACAGATTTCTCATTTTGTACTTATGGACTTAAATGCCAGTGCCTGGGCAAAGTTCCACTCAAGAAGCTTTAATGACGTAGGGGCGGCATGGCGTCATTCTGGTGTACGTCTGATGTGAAAAAAAGAAAATATATATATAATATTTTTTTGGGAAAAATCCTTTGCCTGCTAGTCAACAAAATAAAAGGTCCGAAATCACATGACTTTTTGGTCTGAAGAAATTCTGCATTGTGCGATTGTTTTCGGTTAATTCATTTAATTAATTTTTCGAGAACTGATATCTTTAAATTGACTAATGGATAAAAAAAAAAAAAAAATTCAAATCAGTAATAAACAGTGTCTAGCGGCACTCTAAGACTATAATCACTCTGCTGTAGGGGCTATAATTTTTTCGTGCCTTATCAGTATTTGTTTTATCAGATTTCGGGACGTAAATTTCTGTGAATGCAACCGGTTGCGCTTAGATGGAGATTGACTTGAATTTATTTTGCGAAACCAAAGGTCGCTGTATTCAATGAATGAATTAGCACTAGCGAGAAAAGAAATCCGAAGAAATTGTGGCTTCAGACTACCGAAATTACCAGCCGCAGCCCCGAGAAGTTAAATCGGAAATTTTATCGGTCATTTCATTTCTGCCTCCTCTCCCGAAAAAATCGAGAATTCAGGTGGGCACATCATAGTGTGATTTCGGTTAACAAAATTAATGCCATATTTTGGAATATTTTTTAGTTGCTGCACTAACGGACCGGAATGACAGGAAAACTCGCTCCTGGCCGTCTAATTTTCTCATAGTCCGGACGCGCCATGTATGATCGCAGGCCGCGATGGAATTTGTTCGGGCATCTCATTTCTCCACTCTCTGAAGCTAGGTCTAGATTCAAGAAATATTTGCAAATCATATATTTTATACAGGAAAACAATACACGGTATCATTGCGACACAACATGAAGATTAAAAGTCGACAGATCCAAAACTCCTCCTATTTACAGGACAATAATTGACGAAGTTTCATGAAATAATGTTTTATAAGTCACATTTAATAATTGATTTCGATTATTGTTATATGCATAAAGCTTTGTCTTGTTTATATTTCATTTGAAGCGAAGTCATGACATTTTAATGTGTATGTAATATATATTTTAATCCTGGCAGTATCGATGCGTGATTTGCATTTTTAGGAAGATATCAAATTTCTCACGGCTGAATCCACCCCTGTATTCAGAATAATTATTTAACATTAAATTAAGACAGGGGCGTGCTGGCACCGAAGGGGCCGAAGGCAACCCCCACGCCGAATGCGCGCCCCTGGGGTTCTCCCCCCAGAAAATTTTTGAAATTTGACAACGGGAAACGCGTTTTGCAAGCACTTCTGGGAGAAATCTAGGTATCATATTTTCCAAATTTATGCTGCTATTTTGACTATAAGACATACTACTGTACTACACAAGACACTCATGACAGGTCTGCTTAATATAATGCTAATACAATGTATTTCTATCCAAATAATAAATTGCATATCGAGGCATGATTACATGTATCAAAGACCATTTCACCTTAAGGTGACAGACATTTGCACGTCAGCATAATATATTTTACTAATCGTTGTGTATGTATGATTTTTCGCGTGCGCACTCTCAATTTTTTGAGGGGATTCCGCGTGAAAATTAGAGCTCTCAGGGGGGCCCGCTTATACGGGTGGACTTATTGTTTAATGGGGGCCTGGGAGGACACCGTCCCCCTAAACTCCCTGCCAGCACGCCCCTGAATTAAGACATCAAAATACAAACGCTAGAAAATATCTCGGTGTGAATTCAGTCGGATTAAAAACTGGTCCATCAATTTGGTTCCCGGCAAATAAAGACAGCGACTACCTTGTAGGGTGTCGCATAGATTGGTGGAATTGAGTCATTTTTGGATAGGTATTCGTATTAAAGATCCCACTTCACAATATTATAGTTTACAGGGGAATAATGTAGCGCGAGTATCACACTAGGTCTTGAATTGAAATAAATGCAATATTCTACAATCCGTTTTAGTTTGCTTGATAATAATATTTTCAATTCTATAACTATGTGGAAATTAGGACCTACATGATTTAATATAACTTAAAAAATTTGTTATTTATATCTTTAGCCTACATGTGGTGCCTTTCACGTAAAACAAGTTTCCTCTGGGATAATAAAGTAGGCTATTATCTGATTCTCGTTTTTAAAAAAAAGGTTTTATTCACTGCACACAACCAATTAAAGATACATTATGGGAGATTTTAATAGAGAGTTGGGCATTCTTGCTATAACAGTTCAAAAATAGATGATGAAAGAGGAATATATTGAAAATTTCAGTCAAATTACCGGTACTTTATTCTGAACCAAGTTATCACCATTGTAATTTTTGACTAGAAATAGGAGTCAACTCTGTCTTCGCCTACATAATCTCGATTATCAAGTAACGTTTTCAATGGCTGTGGTGCCGTTACAGATCAGTGTACCGTTAGCCTAATCGGTTTGAGACGGGGTTGCAATTCAATTCGTATCACATTTATTTTTACTACAAATTAAAAATAAGCCTTTTCATATATAGATAAGAAGTGAAAGATTGAAAGGAATGGACCAAATCAATGAGGCATAATTATAGCCGACTTCTTGTTAGCCTGCGTGTACTCTTGTAGGCTATTGTAACTGGTGGTAGGCCTACGTAACTCCCGAAGCAGACAAATAGGAAACAGTGATCCAATGGGGCTGCAATTCAACTGGGGTGATGTTAGCTGCGATGTTTATCAATTTCCATAATTTTTTCTGTAAACGCAAGCGACAAAAGGGCGTATAATACCGACATCCAAACTCTCATTTTAATCACAACTAAACATAATATCAAGGCCGTCTATATCGAAATTTCAATCAAATTGACTGACATGCGGCCTCGCTCAACAGCGGCCTCGCTTCGTACACTCTATCATTTAGCCTCGATCTAAAATTTCCGAGAGTATGACGTCAACGTAACGGTTAATCTCCGCTTACGACGCCATGTAAAAATTTAATCAATCAATGAAATCCTGTTTAAATCCAAGCGACAAAAGGGCGTATAATACCGACATCCAAACTCTCATTTTAATCACAACTAAACATAATATCATGACCGTCTATATCGAAATTTCAATCAAATTGACTGACATGCGGCCTCGCTTCGTACACTCTATCATTTAGTCTCGAACTAAAATTTCCGAGAGTATGACGTCAACGTAACGGTTAATCTCCGCTTACGACGCCATGTAAAAATTTAATCAATCAATGAAATCCTGTTTAAATCCAATCCGTAGGTGATTTTGTTGATTTTGTGCTTGTTGTGTAAATAAAGATCTAATTTATAATTTCTATGACATCTGAAGCCTAAATAAAGATTTGCAATAATCAGATTTAGCTTTTGCATAATGTATGTTTAATTTTAATGTTTTGGGTTAACCAATATGGCCTCACCGGCATTAGGTCAGATTCGATAAAGAGCTGATAGTTCTCGCTATAATAACTACACAATAGATAATGCAAACAGAATATGCTGAAAATTTTCGTCAAATTGCTTCACTTTGAACCAAAATATTAGCGATTCAATTTTACGCTAGCCTCGATCGTCATTACTAACGTTTGTAATAAACAATGTGTCGATTATCCACTTTTACGTTAAATCATCCATCACAAAACGTATTTAAATCTACTTATATCGCAACCATCCGATGGCATCGCGAGTTGATTATGGTCTGGATAAGTTAATTAATGTCTAATCAATAATTTAGATAACATTTCAGGCCTAAAGATAGACCCGCAATAGGAAGATTTAGCTCTTGTGAAATGCATGTTTAGATAATGAAACATTTAACGGCCTTCTGTCACGGTGTCTGCAAGGGGCAGTGTCCAGTCATTCGTATAGGACGGAAAAGCGAAGCCCCGTGTAACGATAAAGAACCCTTGACAGTTTGAATTCGAAATAAGAGAGAGAGAGAGAGAGAGGGGGGGGGGTAACGTCCACTCGACACAAACTAGATCATTTCGGGACTAACACATGGTTCAATTTTATTTCAATAATTCGCTTGCGCGTAGGGTTTTTTTTTAGCGGTGGGACGTCATAGGTGGTCCTATGTGTTGATAATACATTTATATACAACTGGTGGTAGGTTTTTTTTGATGTCCATAGCAGTTATACAACCTCTCATGAGGTCATCATAGGTTGATATATTCGGTTCATATCAACCGCTGATGACGTCATGACAGGTTGATATATTCATATCAACCGCTAATGACGTCATCTCAGGTCGATATATTCGGCTCATATCAACCGCTGATGACGTAGATGATCGAAATAATACAAAGAACACAGAAATAATTTTTTATTCTTTTGACAATTAAAAATTGTTATGGTACAGTTTGTAGCATTCAGTACCGAAATAGACGGCGTACTTAATCGGCGTATTTAAATCGGTTATCCATAATCCATGTCTAAGATATTTCAGAATTTTCTTTCCGTCCATATTTCCATTATTTCTCCACACACTCCAAGACTTCCTTCGTAAATATTTTTGGGTACAGTCCACTTAAAACAGTCGGTCAAATCCTTCTCTGAACATACCGAAAACCTTCAATCACGGTTTACTGTCAGAATTATCGGAAAAGGTTGCCTTTTGATCCAAATTTTCTCCTGGCTTTGGATAGATCCTCATCGATATTTGCATCCACATCTTTTCCATCGTCAATATGTTGGCTAAAAAGGATTGCTTATTCGTCTGACTTTGTATTACTATCCATTTTGTTTTTGCTTTCAATTCGATTACTCAAAAATGGCGACGTATGAACAAAAACATGCACGTACATTCACGTGATTACTTCGGTGTTTTTCGCTATTTGGCGGAAACTATCGAGCAATTATCCAATCATTGTTGCCTTTTAATAGAAGAGCCCATTTAATTTAAGGGTGAAATGGCGTTGGATATGTCGGATATAAACCTACTCTCCCTCGGATTGATATGATAGAGAACACTTAGGCTTTGCCCGCGGTTCTCTATCATATCAACCTCGGGTAGGTTAATATCCTATACATAGGGTCTAACATTGATAGTTTTTGAGATATTGACGTGTTTTTTTTCTCGAATTGATCGACCTTAACCTTTGACTCTGCCCCAAAAACTTTCCCCCAAGCTATCATGATGGGTCATTATTTTCTGGAGTACCTATCTATCATTTGAGACCAAGTTTGCTTTGATGGGACTTTTTTTCCAGGAAAACACCTATATCTGTGTTTGTTTATCCGGCAGACTAGTGCTGGCTCACTTACCAGCAGACGGGGGAGTTGATTCCAGGATATTCCATCGCAGTTTCCCCTTATCAGTGGTGTAGTAATGAGGGCGTCCACTAAATACCCCCATTGGTAGTTGGATTTTGACAAAGAATAGGCGCAAACGCCGCTATGCTTATTCATGTCTCTATTAACGCACTTGGTTCAGAACCGTAGGAGAGTAAACCCAACTGTATTTCAAAATTAATAGCACTATAAGTTTTGAACACAATAACCAACATTTTACTGTTGTTTTAACATTTATTTTATAGGTATTACATGTTAGTCGTGTTCTATTACTGTTTTGTAGACTCTCATAATTTATAATGTGCCAGGTAAAATTTATGAAATGCAGAGAACAAATAGGTGAGACCTAAATAAACATGGCTGTCCTTTAAATGTTAGATAACAAGACTTCAAAACTGGGTTACACATTTTTTAGCATATTATAATTGTCATAATTCATAATTATTGTGGTAATTTTGGCCAAAACACATAATTCTCCATATTTTTTTTTTTGGTAATTATGTTAAAAACTCACTATTCTACCATTCCTGATTTCTTTTTTAAAAAAATAGTGCCGGTAATAATTTTAGTGTTTATTCAGGGTTTTGGCGTATCGGTTGCACCTTTAGTCATATCTCAGTTTCACATCTGAATAAATGGGAGACAAAATGTGTTTAGTAAATTCATCCCGATTTATTGCCACAGACTTCTAGACTACCTGTAAGTGCTTTCCCAACAATCTACAGCAAAGTCAGCAAACATCACAAACCTGATATCCAAAATGTTTGGCATTGGATCAGCATACATGTACTTAGGAAGACTGAATATGACCCAGGCCTATACCCAAGTCTCAACAAACCAGCGGCTGCCAGGCAGGATACGCCCACATTTTCGAGAGATGGATAGAGAACAAGCTAACAAGAGAGTGATTTTTCCTACAATCAAGGGCCATAATTCAGGAAATTACAATTCGATATGCGCAAATATCGAAAGGAACTGAGATCTTTGTGTTATAAACTTACATTTCAAGTTTCAACAAAATCGGATAAAAATTGTGACCTCTATAGGGTCCACAACCTTGATATACCATATTTTTACGCTATTTGAGAACGAACGGCGGACATTTTGTCTGTCAATTTTGGGCCGATTTTCACGAAATTCGAACTCAGTCGTCCTTAGGGTGTAACGGTGATATAATAATAAGTTTTTTTTTAAATCGGATAAAAATTATGACCTCCATAGGGTCCACAAGCTAAAAACGCGATTTTTCGTACAAGCAGGGGCCATAATTCAGGAAGTTACGGTCCGATATGCGCGAAGTTCGAAAGGAACCGAGATCTTTGGGTTATAAACTTACATTTCAAGTTTCAAAAAAATCGGATAAAAATTGTGACCTCTATAGGGTCCACAACCTTGATATACCATATTTTTACGCTATTTGAGAACGAACGGCGGCCATTTTGTCTGTCAATTTTGGGCCGATTTTCACGAAATTCGATCTCAACCTTCCTTAGGGTGTAACGGTGATATAATAATACGGTTTTTTAAATCGGATAAAAAATTATGACCTCTATAGGGTCCACAAGCTAAAAACGCGATTTTTCGTACAATCAGGGGCCATAATTCAGTAAGTTACAATCCGATATGCGCAAATATCGAAAGGAACTGAGATCTTTGGGTTATAAACTTACATTTCAAGTTTCAAAAAAATCGGATAAAAATTGTGACCTCTATAGGGTCCACAAGCTAAAAACGTGATTTTTCGTACAATCAGGGGCCATAATCCATGAAGTTTCGATCCGATACATGCCAATATCGAAAGCAGCCGAGATCTTTTGGGGATAAACCTGTATTTCAAGTTTCGTCAAAATCGGATAAGAATTGTGACCTGTAGAGAGTCCTAAAACAATTGTGGATGGACGGACGTCCGGACGGACAGGGGCAACGGCATAATACGTCCACATGAAAATGTGGGCGTATAAAAATGAAGATTTCGAAATAAGCACTACTTTCACATTCAATTAGTAGAATGAAATAATCAAAAAACATGCATGTGTCTTATGCACAGGCATCTTATCTAGTATACTACTAGATAGTCCCTACTGTAACATGCTGGTCAAGATATTGTAAGACGTTCTATGTTAATCCCTTAATGTGTCTATGATCTTATATTGTACTTTGTACCACCAAATCTTTTTAAATCAGAGTCAATCAGAATGGGCCTATCTTGTTTAATGGTTAAACCAGGGCTGAATAATGTACTTTCAGACACCAAACTTCATACAAATTTTATAACCTGAGCATCTAGTTAAACATTTTTTTCATTTAACCTTTAAAACTGTTCATTAGTAAAAATTAAAACAAAAGTAATTCTGATGGAATTTGATTTAATTTTCTTAAAAATGATCATGATTACAGTTACATACAATAAAAGATGAAATGGACAATAAACAAATGAATGCACTATGTATTAAGCACCAGACTTAGTAAGGATACTGTTGATGTCGACAAATTTGGCATATGATAGAACTGGTTGAGCACATTACAAATAGAATTTTAACAGTTGATTCATAGCAAAGATTTGAGGAACTGGGTACTGGCACAAATAAAGGAAAGCCATTATTGTTACCCACTCATCTCAAAATGAATAGTTGGTTTCAAACTGATATTTTCTCAGTGTCTCAATTCATTGGAATTATCAAATCAAGCTGTACCTGTTACCACTCTCTACTTCAATTGGTATCAATAATTTCCTTTATTTGTGTCTCTTCCAAATTCTTCAAATCTTTGTTACAGATCAACTGTAGCAAAGATCTTATGTTTGGGATGTGTTTCACCAGTTCTATCACATGCATAATTGGTGGGCAACAAAATTGTCCTTTAATATTCATTCCCTCTGATCTACAGAATATTCAAGAATTTACAGATAGAAACAAATAAAACAACTATTAGATGCAACAAAAAATCTAACAACTTTCACAAATTTTCATTACAATATGATGGTCATTTTAATGCACTAAGTAGACATGTAATTTTAGCCAAGACAAAATAATTACAGAATAGCTTCATCAACAATTGTTTGTATGTGTTTAATTGAGGAATTTAACATACCAATATTACAACATTGAACATTTAACCCACACTGACATTCTCTTGAATGTAATAATTAGAAGACATATTTAGTTACTTTTTCGAAAGAGAAAAGAATTAAATTTAGAAAAAAAAAAGATTAGGTAATAATTAAAGTGCATACCGATGTCCGATATCTAGTTTCATCCAAAATGATAATTGTAATTTTTTTTATGTACGTTTGATGTATGATTATTTATTATATTTCACATAAAATCGAAGAGTTTTTACATTATCAGCACTTTAAATTGTGATTTAAAATAAGTCTGTTATTTTACACAAAGTTATATACATTATTTCTACATTATTTATAGAATAAAACATCATCACTACTTGTACAATTGATAAAAATATAGTAAAATATAGTGATTAATAATATACATGAAACAAAAAACTTCAGGTTAATTACCTGAATACCAGACAGAATTGCTAGACATTTTCTTGATATTGGATATTTGTGAATTTGAGACCAGCTTATATCCAGTATAAAAAAAGAGATAGGTAAGCTTTTGATCATTGTACTGTTGGTAATAAGTGATTTTAATTACATATATTCACGATTTGATATTATTTGAGACAAAATAAGGAGACCTACAGATTAACTCATGTGTTAACTATTTGTATTTGGTATGTCTTGTGCTAAAATAACTGTATGTTGTCCTCCACCAGAAACACATAATCCTTTCCTGTAAGAAACAAAAAGATATTCAATTAGAAAATTATGGTAAATGTGCATAACATACATAAATTACATGTAGATTGTATTGTATACATTATATTATATATCATACAGTCATTTCAACCAAATAACAGCATTCAACATCTAACACAAATCAACCATATCTCTGTATGCATTATTTTTAACCCTGATAAATAAATTAAACTGAATGGCTAATAACATACATGTAGCTTGTGGGTCATTCATAATGTAAAACATAGCATTCTAGTTGATAACGGAGAAAAATACAGAAGTTGACTTACATCAACAAAATTTGAATGGTAATTTTTTCAAAAAATTTGTGCAGGGACCAATTATACATACAAAATTATTGGAACATTACCAATTGACTTTGACAAAAATATGTTGCCTAAATTCCCCAATTTATTATAATCTCTGAGTAGAGGAAATAATTAAGTCCATGAGCAAGAGTAAGACAATAAACTGTAGTTTAAAATTCTTTAGAAACATGGTATGAATAAATATAAAAAGTATATTTACCTTGTACTAAGAGCTTTTCCAACCATTTTTGTAGGTACTAAAATATCATCTTCTGAACCACTACCTAACTGCTTCGTTGTTCCCATTCCCCATGCATATATATCACCTTAATTAAACAATAAAAATATATAAATAACACCATTTACATATGCATTATAAAATTAACAAAAGTGAATGCAAATTGTCTGTAGAATTGGAGGTCAGCTTTCAATTTCAATAGTACATACCCCTTTTCTTACCTAAACTATTGATAGTAATACTTCCAAGGCCATTGTTGTGCTAAATAAATGAACTTCTGCAGAACTTTTTTTTTTAAGGTTTCAACTATGCTTACCATTTTCATCTATAGCAAATGATGCACAACCACCAGCATCTACGTGTAAACATTTTGTTTTCTCTAAACCAGGTATTAAAGTTGGTTCAGATTTCTCTCCACAATTCTCTCCTAAACCTAATCTACCATAATCTGCTCTACCCAAACAATACACTTTACCTGTAACAGAAAACATGTATAAATTAAAATGGTATCAACTTTACACTCTACACAAATGAAATGAAATGGGGTTGAACGTCCTACTTTTCTGCTCCAACTGGGGTAAGAAGACCGGCGTACACCATACAGCGCGCTATGAGGGAAATTTTGCTTGGACATCAGCGCTACGGCCTACTGTCAAGGGATCTTTTACGTGCATGGCAATGAGTATACGGGACCTCAGTTTTTCGTCCCATCTGAAAGACTATATGTTGTCCCTTCCCAGGCCCTCTGTCCTGTACCACTGACAAGGAGGAACCACATTAGAAAATCCTGATGAAATTCTCTACCCAAACAATACACTTTACCTGTAATATATATACAGTATACTACATTACATATATACAGCATACTATAATACATATATACAGTTGTGAAATATTGTTCGTTTGTAACTTACCATCTGTATCTAAAGCTATAGTATGATGTTGACCACCATTTATGACATCCCATTTAACACCACGACAAAATGATTCTATTCTTTCTGGTGCAAATCGATTTTCCATATCTGCAAAACCTAAAAATGACAATCAAATACTGAGATAATTCACAATTGACAATCAAGCACAATCACAAATCTACATATATTTTGATATTCTCAATAAAAATAACAAGTTTTTAATAATTAAATAGAATATGGCTTCCTACCTAGTTGGTAATAATTGTTTAAACCCCAACCATAAATATCTCCAGTTTCTTTCTCTTCAACAAATGTTGCATACTGTCCTGTCCACACATCAGAGAATTTGGCCAATTTTCTAGACTTATATCTTTTACATCGCACAATTCCAGGTTTTAATAAGTTTTCTGTAGAAAAAAATTGAATGATGTAATAGCATTCCAAGATATAAAGCATAAGCATGGTTTCACAATAAAAAGAAATTATAGACCATCACAAAGATGTAGCCAAATGTTTTGCTAAAATAAACAGATCAAATACATATATATGGTAAGCTAACAATATCCGATTCCTGTGATTTAAATATAATCAATGAATATTATAAATCATATATATCTTACCTAAACCTTTTCTTCCACCTCTATTAGTAAAACATTCTGCTAATCTACCCAGTTGACCCTGTTCAGCACATCCTAAAATATTCATAATATTAAAGATACATTATGGGAGATTCGATAACGAGTTGGCAGTTTTCACTATAATATACTGACGTCCAAAAGAAAGTATACACACTAAAAGTATGACTAAGTTTTGTTTAGATTAAAAGCATTTGATAAAGCATTACTGAGTTTGTCTCTTGCGTCCAAACTCAACATTTCTAAGCAAAATAAAATTTTTGAAACAAATTGACATTCTACCCTTATACCGTATACCATGGAAAAACGACTTTGATTGATGCAGCACGAAATGCACAGAGTATACTTTCTTTTGGACGTTAGTATAGTTCAAAACTGGATAATGTAAAAGCAATTTGTTCAAAATTTCATTCAAATTGATCCACTATGAACCGAGGACAAAGCGATTGAATTTCCGCCTTGCCTTGATCATCATTACTAAAGTCAGTACGATAAACAGCTAGTCTCGAAGGAAAGTTATGCAGTAAATCGGTTCACAATCCACTAAAGATCACAGCCTAGCGATGCCATCTAGAGTTGATTATGGTCTGGATAGGTTAATTAATGTCTAGTTAATAATTTAGATAACATTTCAGGCCTAAAGAAAGACCTGCAATAGACAGATTTAACTCTTGCATAATGTATGTTTAATTAGTAGCTGTTTTGCATTTATAAATATGTGTTATAGTTTATCGCTCTACCCAATTTCTAAATGCCTCTAAATGATTAATATATTGCCATTATTTTCGGGAGTCTTCTTTTATTAATCCATAAAACAGAGAAGTTGTGTGTAAAGCTTAAAGATACATTCCCATGTACAAACTGGGTGATTTAATGGTATATATGGACTAAAAACATATTCAAACTAATTAATTTGTCATAATTTTGCTTCAAATCCTTCTCAAACATTTTAATTGCCAAGGAATGCCCTGCTATAAAAATTCGATCAAACCGGGTCATGTTTATGTCACGTGACTTACTTCTCTCGGACGTCAGAGGAGAATTCATTGCATACATAAGACGATGTTGTCTTTAATCGATTACTATTTATTACAATTATCGAATCCTAATTAAATTCTCGGATTATGCACTACCCGCGTCTTTTTCCGTCATTTTTATCTCAGAAAGTGTTATACGTCTAACTCTTCATAAGTTTATCAACTTGTACATCAAGCACTCAATGTTGGCGTATTTTTCTAGAAAGATTGGATATCTCTACTTTCCATATATACCAAAATTGCCATACTTTTATTGGAAATAACCACCCGATAAATACTTTTCAAGGAACCTATCTTTAACAGAGATCTCTACCTACCTAATGTATAAAGATCTCCCTTATCTGTTAAACAAGTTAAATGATCAACACCTGAAGATATTTTAACAACTACTTCATTTGCTAATAATGGTGATGGGTTCTTCTCTATACCTGATTTAGTTAGACCTATAGACCCATTAGCATCCTGAAAAAATTTATATATAAATTATCAAATTCTATCCTAAATAAAAGATAAAAAAAAAGGTGACAGTAAATAAGCAATGTAATTGTGGGTGAGTCAAGTCCTAGTTAGCTTGGTCATTACATAGACCATGTCCTTATTTGTGACATAGGTAGGTAATAACAACAGTGAGGCTTTAATGTCCCCCGTCTCAATCTAAAAATAAATAGATGACACACATCAATTAGTTGCTAATTTATCTTTTTGTAAAGCAAAAAGCTTCAAATTGCTTACCACTTGGCTTAACCCGAGGAGAAAATGTATTGATGTACAGAAACTATTTGTAAAAAATTTGATAAACCAATTGACCAATCAAATTTCTTAACCTGAGCAGAAATGGCTCATTATTGAACTTAGTCAATGTATTGATGATGTAATGAAACTATCCACCAAGTTTCATCAGTCTCAGTTGTTGTGTCCAGAAGGATTCGCCTAAGCAGAAAATGCTTATCATTAAACTTAGCTAAGGTGTTACTAAATACCTACACCATACCATGTTTGAACATTCTATCTCAGTTAGATGTCCACATCACCTTTTGCCAATCAATCAGATATTAATGATATACTGCAACTAGTCAACATACCCTAAAATTCCCCCAAGCAAACACTTTTCCATCTTCTGTAAGAGCTGCTGTATGACTGTCTCCTGCTGAAACTTGAACTATTTTATATGGTAGGTCAACTAAAGCTGGTCTAGTTTCTGATCCTTCTACTGATGTATCTCTACCCAATCCTCCCTCATCATTACAACCAAATGTATAGATCTGAAACATTTAACAGTAACAATTAAACATACTTTACTAACACATTGCCCAGTCCTTGTAAATAAGCCATCTTCCTATACATGTAAATAATAAGCATTCTAGAGAGTTGTCTAACCAAAGTAGATTCTATCAGGTGTCTAATAATCTTTTATAATTATTAACAGTAAAAGGCACCTGAACATGCATGTGAAAGATAGCACTATATAAGTATTTATAATAAAAATAATTTAAAAATAAAAGACACAATAATATAAACTTATTCCATAAAAAAAACCTTATCCTATTCTTTAATAATTTCAAATCCAGATTTATTAGTAATATCAAGAGTCGACTATTGGAAAAATTATTTACTAACTGGAATTATGGAGAAACATGTGTTAAAGCTATAAAAATTACAAAACCGGGCTGCTTATATTGTCTCTAAAACTAAATCACACATCACCCCAGTCTTAAACAAATTACATTGTCTCTGTGTTCGAAAAAGGATTAACTTTATTAGTAATATCAAGAGTCGATTAATGTCATTTTTTAATAACTGGAATTACGGACGAACACGTGTCAAAGCTACAAAGATTACAAAACTGTGCTGCTTACATTGTCTCTAAAACTAATTAATACATCACCCCAGTCTTAAACAAATTGCATTGGCTCTGTGTTTGAAAAAGGATTAACTTTAAAATCTTATCTTTCACGTATCAATTAACAAATCTGCTATACAGTGACAAACATAACGGAAGCATAGCGTAAACAGGTCAAGCTGGACTAGCCTAATACAACGTGTGGGATTCATTGATTTGTTCCATTACATGTATTGAAAAGGTGTTATTTATTCTAGTGGACTAACTTGTGAACTCCTCGGACACATAAAGCTAATTATTAATATTTTTTGCCGATGCATTGATAATACAAAAAGGGCCGAAAATTGCATCGGCGTTGGCCGAATCAATGCATCTGCGATAAATCGATACTTGATATCAGCACTACTCTTGCATAATGTATGTGAGAACATTTTCTAGCACCTTAAGCATTCTCTTGTGGATTAAATAGTTGAGCAATACAATTATTAATATTAAGATCACGATGATTATCTCAAAACAGCAGATGGCATAATATAAAAGATCACCAACTTATGAATGAAATAGAAGTACTACCATCATTACTACCAATTTCCCCTCAGTCGCAATTCCATTACACCTTAAAATAATTATATTGTTCATATAGATTTTACAATTGTTTTAGATAGAATCTTGTTACAGTTTGGTTGTTTATTGTATTCAGTATCTTACCGTTCCTTTATCTGTTAAACAAACAGTATGCATGCCACCAGCTGCTACTTGTATTATAGGATCTGGTAGTTCAACAAATGCTGGTCGTGATTTCTCCATAATGTCTTCACCTAATCCAAGTTGACCAACATCACCCTCACCACATGTTAGTACAACACCCTTTTTCATAACAGAACCATGAGATCTGTGACTAACTGCCAAAAGAAAAATGATTAATGTTGATGATTAATTATCTTTTTGGTGAAAGTAAATGAAATGAAATGGAGTTTAACGTCCTACTTTTCTGCTCTAACTGGGCTAGTGTAAAGAAAGAATGTAACTAAGTATTTTTCAGGAAGTTTACATACATGTACGCATGGCATGTAATAGTACATTTTTTATTTCAAAAGCTAAACTCTTCCAAATGAAAATATTATGATGAGTATGCTTGATGGATGGATGACAAACATGCCATCTGAATCAGCAAATTGATATTTTAAAGACCATTTATTGAACATACATTATGCAAGAGCTAAATCTGCCTATTGCAGGTCTTTCTTTTGGCCGCGAATGTCAGTACAAATAATATCTTTGAAACACTTGGGTTAGGCAAGAACATGATACTAGCAGTAGTTTCATTTTACTTTTACAAGATTCTTTAAACAATTGTTGATTTGCCTTACATGCATGTTTCTAAATTCAATTTTTTGTTCCAGCTTTCTATGTGTCGTAAAAAAGTAGTCTTGATTATCCCGGCCTTTCAATCAGACATAGAATGGTCGGTAGACTGGCTAAGCGAGACTATGTTATGGCCGACACTCGTAACCAATTTTTAGTCTATTATTTATGGATGGTTAATTAAGTATAACATGACCGTTTATTTAGTGAAGTCTATAAATGTGTGAAACAGATTTAAGGCTTGGTATATAAATATTGTTGTGCAATTGTCAAGATAATTGGAGATATTTATTTATGGTGGGGCACCCTATTATTTGACATTAATTTATCCAGACCATAATCAGCTCTCGGTGTCATCGCTAGCCTGCAATATTTACTGGATTAGAATCCGATCTGCTGACTATTAGTGTGGTATGACATCAAAACATCTCCCATAGGATTTCTATGCTAAAATTGCTGAAGTTGATATTTTTGTTGTTTTGAGTTTAGTCCGGCAGCAGGTTGTCAAACCTGGAAATGTAGTCCACCTAATGTTTTTTGATGGATTATATATCTTCAGTATGTGTAGATTCAGAATCCAGATGATGCCACTCTGGCACCCTTGGGGAAATTTAAATATTCAAGATGGCCACCATATGTGACAGATTCTCTCGGACTTCGGTTTGAAGATGTTTTCTATAAGAATTCGAATCACTGAATTCAATGAGCTTGGGTATTCCTGAAAAAAATGACGGCTAATTCTGTTAGGGGGCCAAATTCAAAATGGTGACTTATTTGGGCAGGAAACTTATAAAGTTCCCTAAAAAAGTGTGTAATATATTTTCAGTGTACTATATATCTTCAATATGTGTAGTTTCAGAATCCGGATGATGCCACCCTGGCATCCTTGAGGAAATTAAAAAATTCAAGATGGCCATCATGTTGCATTTTCTGGTTATTTACTTTAATTTAGTGGGGTAGAATTCGGGACAGATTCTCTCGGACCTAAGTATGAAGGTGATTTCTATCAGAATTTGACCCGCTGAATCTAATGAGCTTGGGTATTCCTCCTAAAAGTGACAACTAATTCCGCTATGGGGTCAAATTCACAATGGTGGCTCGTTTTTTGAGGTAAACTCATAATGATCCCTAATAATATGGTGTATATATGAAATATAGGTTTTCGTTGTCAACTTCTTCAGATATAGACATAAATAAAGGATCAACCAAAAGGTGTTCCAACCCGATGATATTCTTTCCCTTATATTCTTATAAGGAGACAAAGTAGGCACGGTCAACCCCAATCAACTATCGGACCATCGTGCGTTGAAAGCAAATGTTTCTAATAGCCAACTGGGGCTCACATATTTGTCTTGTGCAACCTCGGGTATTGTATTGGAATACTCGCAATCGGTTGGACAGTCTTATTCTTCCCATTCCATCCGTGTCACGCAGCGGGGATAACATTTGTCTTGCAAGTTATTTGGTCATTCATACGCGCCGGTAAAGCTGGGGTTTGTATTACGCTGACAAAACATTTTCCATCCCTCTGTTTTCTAGTAGAGAAGGTGACACGGACAGGTGCCATAGTGGATGAAGATTTATGCTTGACAATTCGCTCTCCGTAGCTTCTGTTCGCATGGCTCTGTAATTTGTGCTCTTAGTCCTGTGATACATAAGTTTTTACGTTAACGGTTCTATATCTTCCATGGTCTACTAAATTTAGTTATTTTGTTGAATTATGGAAACATATTAGCGTTTCGTTCGGTCATGGCACATTTCTCCATTCAGATATAAATTTGTCGAACCCGAAAACCTATAGTTTAATACATTACTAATATTGTTATGTCTTGCCAAATATGGCCACCATTTTGAATATAAGCTCAACCCGGAATACTTTTTTGTCGGAACATGTTTTTATGTTTATATCTAAAGTAAATGACACCAAAAACCTTTAGTTTATATATTGCACAGCTTTTTGGGGGGATTTTATGAGTTTCCCCCTAAAATGAGCCTCTATTTTGAATTTGGCCCACAGCTTTTTTAGGAATAATACCAAAGTTCATTAGATTCAGCGGGTCAAATTCTGATAGAAATCACCTTCATACTGAGGTCCGAGAGAATCTGTCCCGAATTCTACCCCACTAAATTAAAGTAACTAACCAGAAAATGCCTCATGAAAGCCATCTTGAATTTTAAAATCTCAAGGAAGCCAGGCTGGAATCATCCGGATTCTGGAATTACACATATTGAAGATATATAATGCACCAAAAACCTATATTTCAATATATTACACACCTTTGTTGGGAACTTTATAAGTTTCCTGCCGAAATAAGCCACCATTTTGAATTTGGCCCCCTAGCGGAATTAGCCGTCATTTTTTAGGAGGAATACCCATGCTCATTGGATTCAGTGGGTCAAATTCTTATAAAACCCATCTTCAATCCGAGGTCCGAGAGAATCTGTCAGATATTTTACCCCACTAAATAATGAGAAAATGTTTAGGGACCAAGCTATCCAAAAATATCGGGGTTCAAATTTTCTGATCCCTTGACCCCTTTGGGAGGGGCCTTTTTTTAAATCGGAACCCCTCTGAACGAGGACATGGCTATCTCTGCCAAAAATGGTTGCAATTTCATAATCTGAAGTTCATTCTCGTGTTTTTTCATCATGTCGACCTCATCTATGATACATGTACACTTAAAACGATTGGACGTAGTTTTCATTGACTTCCGGTGGGGAATATCAATTTCAGGTGTCAAACTCGGATTGATTTCACCCTGTAATCTTTGGATTTTCATGATCTGAAGTTAATTCTGTTTTTCTTTTTCATCATGCCAACCCCATCTATGATATACTTAAAGCAAATGGAAGTAGTTATCAATTGACTTGCGGTGGGAAATACCAATTTTCGGTGTCAAACTCGGATTGATTTCAGCCAATAATCTTTGGATTTTCAGGATCTGGAGTTCATTCTGGATGTTCTTTCATCATGTTGACCCCATCTATGATACACATAAAGTGAATGTAAGTAGTTTTTATTGACTTCCGGTTGGAAATACCCATTTCCGGTGTCATGCAGTACCACTTTTTGTGGCTCCTGAAGCATGGTAAAAGTTTCATGCAGTCACTTTTGGGTCATTGGAATGTTCTGTCATGAGATTCAAGATAAATCTGACGTTTGTGACAAGTAAACCATTTTGATATCAAAAACAAAAAGAAATTATAACAAGTCAGAAGTCGCAAGAAATGAAAACAACGAAGTTCCTATCTTGGAAATAAATATATCATCCTCATCCCCTTGCACATCACTGATCATATAGGTACGCTCCTTATCAAAACCCTTGCACAGAGATGAACAAGGTCGACCATTATTTCCGAAACTGCACTGCCCCATGCAACCTGATTTACAGCCACTTTTTGTTAGTTCAGTTAAAGTTACAATTTCATATTTTTAAGTTATATTTTTCAAATGTATTAAAATAAAGCCCTAAAATAGATGATATCTATAAACAGTCCTACCTTGTTAAAGAATAATCCTATTAATCCTATAATTCACTATTGCCAGTTGAGAAATTGGCAAAAATATCATTTTCAACTTCAAATTCAATCGTTTGAAGATAGCTATTCCATGGGGGGAATAGAAAAACAAGGGAGGTAATTGTGTTATTATTTCCGGTGTGAAGATTTGTAAGTGTGAGAAAGATAACCTATGATCGTATAATAGTGAGTTGAAAACCTATTGAGCAAAAGACATAGAAATGATTATGTTTTGACTTTCTTAGAAAATATGAAATTGTAACTTTAAAGCACAAGGGTCAGGCAGAGTAAGATTCTGCACAAGAACCTACATAACCTGTCACTCTTAATTATCAATGATCAATCACATCACACATATCCATACATGTAGGTACACACACACACACTTAAATTGTTTAGGTCTTGACCTACATTGCTCCATATAAATATCGTAATATGAAACCTTTTTATTTCTTCGACATCAGAATGCCTAAAGTTCTTGAAAGTCGGCGAATCTGCTTTGGCTCAGCGACTCGAAGATTCGTACAATTCTATTATCCGTATCCATGTGAATGGTACCAAACTTGCGTAATAAATCGAATACTTTGCCATTGAGGTGTAGAATTCAGATTTTAAAATATCCATAATAAATTGAATATCAAAACATGAATCACACCTGTGCATGGCACTGTATTCCTATACCGCATGTGGAGGACAGGTAACGCCCCCTGGAATTCATTACTCACATATCCTGTCTATATTTATATGAAATATTTTTCCGAACTAATTATTTGATTTTGTCAAATTGTCTTATAAATTATTCATAGCCTTTATTTATGGAAATTGTTATAATTGTTATAAATACACCAGGCAACAAGCTGTGTGCATTGATTTCCATTCCAGCCACCACTATATTCATTACGGTAGAATTTTTTCACATGACTTGGGGGAGCGTTTTAATTTATTTAGATATAATACTTCATAATGCTATAAACTAGTGTCAAGCAGATGAAAACAAGTGTAGATGGTGTGAAATTCATTGTTAGAAAATTGTCTACTTCCAAACTGTGCGAGTAACTGTAGCCTACGATAGAGCGAAATGTAAACAGTGCAAATGGCGTTTTTTCACAGTATTCCCTTGCTTAATTCTTGCATTTAGAAACGAATAATTAAATGTACCTGACCTGGACGTGAGTATTGAGGTCTTAAGTCAATTTACTGAACATTAGGTAAAATTTAGTCCACCTGTCGCAAGAAAAGCTACCTGTCAGACGAAAAAATCGCCTGTCAGCGACAAGTAAACAGACGAACATTTCGAGTCATATCATGGGTGAGCAGGAGGACGAGAATGATGAATAACTGATGCAGTGAACAGAATTGTATCTATTTCCAAGATATGATCTTTTTGTTTCTTTTCTGGTGACTTCTTTTTCTTTTTGATATTAAACTTATTTACTTGTTACGAACTGGGTGACTGGAATGTTCTGTCATGAGATTCAAGACAGAACATTCCAGTCACCCAAAAGTGACAACATGAATCATTTTACCATGCTTCAAAAGCCACAAAAAGTGGTAGACTGAGACACCGGAAATTGGTATTCCCCACCTGAATTCAATGAAAACTACTTCCATTTGCTTTAAGTGTATCATAGATGGGGTCGACATGATGACAAAACCCCAAAATGAACTTCAGATTATGAAAATCCAACCATTGTTGGCAGAGATAGTCATGGACTCGGTCTGAGGGGTCCGGCTTTCAAAAAGGCCCCTCTCAAACAGGTCATGGGTCGAAAAATTTGAACCAAATAATGGGGTCCGCATGATGAAAAAACTCCAGAATTAACTTCAGATCATGAAAATCCAAAGGTTATTGGCTGAATTCGAACCGAATTTGACAACAGAAATTGATATTTCCTACCGGAAGTGAATGAAGACTACTTCACAGATGGGATCGGCATCATGAAAAGATAGGTTGCCAGGCAACGAAACATACACCCACAGCAGCAAAATCATCCGAGTGGTCGCCAAGGGTTGTCGCATATTTATTCCTTTGTAGGTAATTGGGGGCCTTTACAAGACAGTTCCATACAGATCAGATTATAATTTTTGCCGTTTGAGAGTTGACAAGGGCCCTTATTCACGAAAACTTAAACTAAGATACAATAGAAATTTTAAGAAATGCTGCAATTCGATTGGCTGACCAGTAAAATCAATTTGCATATATCCAATTTGCATATTGGTCAGCCAATTGAATTGCAGTATTTCTTAAAATTTTGATTGTATCTTAGTTTAAGTTTTTGTGAATAAGGGCCCTGGTTCTACAAACTGAAACAAGGGTCTCAACTCTGGAATTAATCTACAGAAATTATTGAAATTTGACAGGCTTTTTCGTTTTACTAATTTAAATAATGCATATAAATTTCATACTGATCAGATGATCACTTTTGTCATTCAAACGTTCACAAGGTTCACAACCTCCATAACTCTAGAAATTATTGACGGAAATTGCTGAAATTCAATAGACCTCTGTTTCACAAATTTAAATGAGGCATATAAATTTCATACATATCGGATGATAACTTTCATCAATCGAGCATTAACAAGGTTGAACAAAGTGAAACAAGGGCCATAACTCTAGAAGTAATAAACGGAAATTGCTGAAATTCAATAGGATTCTTCTCTTTACTAATTTAAATGACGCATGCAAATTTCATACAGATCGGCTTAACTCTAGACGTAATATATGGAAATTGCTGAAATTCAATAGGATTCTTTGTTTCACTAATTTAAATAATGCATATAAATTTCACTAAGATCGGATGTTAACTTTTGGCATTAGAGCGTTCACAAGGTTAACCAAAGTGAAACAAGGGCCATAACTCTAGAAATAATAAACGGAAATTGCTGAAATTAAATAGGCTCCTTCGTTTCCCTAATTTAAATATTGCATATAAATTTCACAAAGATCGGATGTTAACTTTTGGTGTTAGAGCATTCACAAGAAATTGTGGACGACGGACGGACAGACAGGGGCGACGGCAATATACGTCCACATTTCTATGTGGGCGTATAAAAACACCCGAATGAACTTCATATCCTGAAAATTCAACCATTATTAGCGGAGATAGCCATGGCCTTGGTCAGAGGGATCCTAATTTCAAACATGCCTCTCCCAGAGGGGTCAAGAGGTCGGAAAATTTGAACCCCGAAATTTTTGGATAGCTTGGTCCAACATCAACCCAAAATAACAAAAAAATCAATTTTAGCATACAAATCCTACGGGAATGACATGTCATACCACACTATATTGCAGGTCTTTCTTTAGGCCTGACATGTTATCTTAGTTATCTAAATCATTATTTAGACATTAATTTACTTATCCAGACCCTAAACAACTCTTGATGCCATCGTTAGTATATTTGAAGACTTTGTTTATTATCGTACCAATGTTAGTAATGACAATAAAGGCTAGCCTAAAATTGAATCGCTATGTCTTGGTTCAGAGTGAAGCAATTTGACTGGAATTTTCAGAATATTCTGTTTTCATTATCTATTTATTATAGCAAGAACTGTCAGTTTTTTTATCTAATCTTAAATAACGCCCCTTTAAGTATTGGCCGTGTTATAAGAAACCAGCAAGTTTATGGGGTTATCAAAATTACCGGTAACTGCACTAATTGCTTGGATCGTCTTCATTTGCCACATGGCCTATTTTCACAAAGGCAACTTACTGGATCTATCCTCTATGAATAATCAGCTTGTATATTTATGGGATTATCAAATTTACCATTGTATTTCTAAGGCAATTTTTTTTTATTCTTTCGCCCAGTAACAAAGTTAGTTGTGTCATGGATGTGTGGACGACTCAACCAATGTATTTGGATATTTCTGGACGACTTAGACTTTTCATGTGGACAAGTTTGCATGTTGACCAGTTAACTGGCATTCTCACTATTATCAATACCTCTACTCAAATTTTCAACCAAGACTAACCTTTTATTTTTGAAAGATTTTTATCAACTTTTTCTTTTGAGATTCCATTTTCCTTAGCTACTGTGTTGTTTTTCTTATCTTTGCTAGCTGTAGAAGTTTTACCATTTAATTTATTCTCTTTTCCACTTGTGGTAGCTTTATCACTTGTCTTGCCATTCACTCCTTTTTCTGTAGATTTTGTATTTTTAGCAGCATTTGTTTTTGTTGTCCGTGTCTTTTTTTCGGGTGTACCTGGAGAATCTTCTGGGTTTTCCAAAACTCTTTTCTTTCCTTTCGCAGACATCTAAATTGATTAAAATATCAATAAGTTAATTCAATGAGTCTTGCTTCATTTATTTACATTTTTCTTTTTCTGGTTGACTTCAATACATAATTGTCATTAATGACTTCGGTCTCTCTGGTACAGTGTTATCAGAGAATGGATTGTTCAGTCTAGGCCTAGGGCCATAATAACATTAAGCAAGTCATTTTCAATTACTAGTTATACTATAGTTTCAACAGCATGTGGAACACAATATCAAGTATATCTCAAAATTGACAATCATGGTTAATTTCTGCTTCAATAATACAATCATTGATGCTTTGCACATGTAAAAATTATCTCAAACAAATAATTTTCAACACATATCGTCATAATTTGTATTGAAACAAATGCTTTTATGACAAACAATGAAGTAGGTCTACATAATCACCACACATTCTTTTTAATTTTTATGGTAACACATTTTCAAACCGACATTTTTATGTAAACAAATCAAAGAAATAATATGCAGTCAGATTTCACATTTATTTCAATGGGGATGAGTTGTTAATCTATGTGGGAGCCACAGTGACACACAAGTGCTAAGGCGCTGGTTCACTCACCAGGTCTGGGGTTTGATCAGTGTTGGCCAAGAAATGGCATAGTGATTTTCCAGTGTGGTTTACCATTGTCAGTGGTTCAGGTCGGAGGCAAGCAACAGGGTCTAGAGGACTTGTGTACACATTGGTGTGCAAGTAAAAGAATCCTTGACAGTTGGAATTCGACAAAAGAATAGGCTGAACTGCTGTATGGGCAAAATTTCCCTCATAGCATACAGCATGGAAACATTTTTAGGGTAAGGATTACGATCTTGAATGGGAGTTACAACAGGGGCTCAGTAAGTAAGACGCTGATTCGCTAACTGGTAGGTCACAGGTTTGCTCACGGTGTTGGTCAAGAAAGTTGTTCAGAAACAACAGTGTCTAGTTGTTCAGATTGTATAAAAACCTGAGGTCCAGCGTACACATTAGTGTACTATAACAAAATTATAGTAAGCTGTATGTATGTATAGACCGTGTCCGAGCAATATTTCATCATAATCATAGCACACTGTATGGCATATGCCAGTCATCATTAGAAATGAAATGATTGGTTCAGAACAATAGGAAATGATGAAATGAAATGGGGTTTACCGTCCTACTTTTCTGCACTAACTGGGCTAATGGATATGGGGATCCACAGTGGCTCAGTGAGTATGATGTTGGCTCGCTAGTCTGGACAGAAATGTTTTTAAATGTTGACAGATACCTACTTAATAGCAATGCAAAACATTGCTTGGGGCGCCACAGTAAAATGAGGTTGTTTTTTTTTGTTCCCAGACTTTGGCAATGTGTATGAGAGAGAGAGAGAGAGGGAGAGAGAGAGAGAGAAAATGGGGTTTAACCTCCATTCATCACAAACTAGTTCATTTCAGGACTAACATTTGGTTCAATTTTATTTTAATAATTCCCTTGTGCATAGGGGTCTTTAGCAGTGGGAGGAAACAGGAGGACACAGAGAAAACCCACAAGGTTGGACATGCGACCCTATTCCATGACACATACAACCGGGGAATCGAAATCAGGCCAGTTGACTCAATGACAGACCTTATGATACCGCGCGCACATGCCAACCCCCAGGGAACGTGTATGAACAGAAACATCAAAGACTTTACAATACTGAAAACTTGAGGTCCATATGTGAATCATATCATAAAATTAGTGTCTTTGATGCAAATTACCAAATTTGTTATTTTTGGCATGTTGCAGACCCTATACCAAAACAAATAAATTATGTAGCCCAAATTTGAAAATTCCATAGATGGTGAATTGTCAGATGAATAATTCCCGAAAAATATGATGCCAATATCTTCAACAGTTGCTGAGAAATAGTCTTTGGTCACTTTTTTTTTCAAGTTCTAAAAAAAGGTGTAAAATGGTGTCAATCAATTTTGGGTCTTGAAATAGCTACAAATGTTGTACCGTTAAACTGTGTTTAACGCTACAATTGATACAATCTAAGACTCCTTACGCAAGTAAAAATAGGTTCAAACGCACAATTGTCAACACATATCATTACAGTTTGTATTGAAATAAGTAATTCTATCACAAATAGTGAGAACTGAACCACTAAAATAGTTATTGAACAGTTTTTCTTTGTGGTAATTATGCCTTCTACATTTTCAAAGTGACATTTCTTTTAATGTAAGCCGCCATGACACCAGCCAGATGAAATTTCGGCAAATTTTGCGTAACAGTTGGGTTTCATCAAATCAAATAGTTATGCGGCAAGACTTCACCTTTATTTCAATGGGAATTGGTTTATTATATGTTAAGATATGTGCAGTACAGTTTGAGGTCAGTTTATGTGTAAATTTAGGGGGCTATAGGCTAGTAAACTTTTTGTAGTCATTTGACTAAAAAAAACAATCTGATTAAAATACAGATCTATATTTCGTTTCGTTTTTTTATACTTTCGATGGCCTACACTACATGAAGATCTGACAAGTTTTAGCGATAGGTCACGTCAGGGGTCATAAGACCGACTTTTGACCTATGACATAAGACATTCGATTAACCAATCAGCATTGATGTTACTAGTGAATTACCCACAGTTCCAGTCAAACACTCGATTCGACAGACCATTTGATTGGCTGACCCCTCATTTCAAGCGGAACACAAGTTAAATAACAAGTCTTCCAGATCCAAGTGTAGTAAAGACAAGTAAACGATTGACTAAAAAACTTGCGCAAAGGAACTCCATAAGACGAGCCACTATTGTGGCTGGAGTAAGGCGGACGACATCAGTAGTGGAACCATTTCTGGTCTTGAAAAGTGCATTAACTTTCAGATTTCTTAACTGATTTTGATTTTTTTTCCCTTAAGTTTCTTAAATGGGAGGAGGGTTGGAATGCTAGTAAATATTCAGTTTTAGTCAAACTGAAAATAAAAAATTTTGTATTGCTAGACTACACTATAACTCATTGTGTAAGACTAACAAAACAACAAATCAACACATCATCATGATTATCATTAGCGGGGCCTATTAATTATTGCACTTTTATAGCTTTAGTTTTAAACCTTATATCTGGCTGTTTTCGCCAGTTTTGAAATTTCAGTTGCGAACTGTAAAACTGAATTCGGACAATAACATTGCTTTTACATATCTAGTTTCAATGTTTTAGTAAATTAGAGAAGAACATAAAAACACAACTTTAACCTTTGCAAATAAATGATGTTTACCGCCGACTCACGTTTTCATTTACACTGATGCACTTGCGCAAGAATCACTTCCGCATCCGGTTAATTGTAGACTTGGTTGTTCAAAATCATTTTTCATATTTATACTAGATAAAACATCTAGATAGGGTTAACAAAGCATTTGTTTCATTTCCTGTTGTGTGTTTTTAAAACGTACCGAGACGCGAAGAAGAGACCTTAGTAAGTATGCTAAGAACTAAATTTAGTACTGAAAACAGAAAATCTGATTAGTCAGGTTGGATAAATAATTAAATGAATGAATACATACATACATACAAATACATACATGTGTAGTATTAATAATAACTAAGAGGGGTGCATATTTAAGCTTAGTCGGGTCCATCATATCATAGATTTACCCAATTAGATTGTTTGGGGTAAATCTATGGACCGAGCTTCGTCTACTCTAGGTAAAGAGACAGACAAATTGAAAATAATTGTGTCGGATTCATACCACAGTATAATGTAGCAATGAGAACGTAGCCGACTGATGTGCTTGTTTTTAATTCCATGTGGCAAACTCAGTTAATGCATGTAACATCTGAAAAATAAGATAATTTTATACATAGTTCCTTTCCGAACTGTCTCTGACATCGTCCGATCAGAGACAGTTCGTAAAGGAACTATTTTATACTATGACTAATTAAACTTACAGAGGCCAATGTTGTGGCACAACTATCACCTAACTCCAAATATTCATGTTTAAATTAATGAAACGTTGTTTTTATCCGACATACACCGTCATACATCTCCCATTTAAAAATAGCGTTCCTAGTAACGACTTAACGCCTCGATTTTAAATGCAATGATTTATACCTGTTTCAGGTAGGATTATATGCTTAATTGTAGTTGGATGTGGCAGAAATGTTATAAATAACAACAATCAATCGTTGTTTTAATGGAAAATATTGTCAATTTTGCTTACTGAGACCCAAAGCGTTGGGCTTTGCTATGTGAAACTATATTGTACCATACTACCATCTCTTATCTCGAAACATGAAGGGTTGATAGATGAGGTTTGTTATCTAAGTTGTATATTAATCGGCTGATCCGCACGTGGTTGATTCAGACCAGATTCATGGCCGATTTCGACCATTCTTGGCTGATTCGGACTATATGATTTGAATGACATGAGTATTTAAAATATGTTTGCATATATTTAATAAAATGACAATAAATAGTGTAATTAGTGATGGATTATTTTAATGATATGACAAAAATGACAATAAATTAGTGATTGATTATGAACTAAATCACAGAAAAGGTGCTTCACATTCTTTACTGATCCGTACCAGATTCGGACCATGACAAGGTTCATTGTTTGTATAACGAGAGTATTTAAAATATGTTTGCATATATTTAATACAATAGTGTAATTAGTAACGGATTACTTCAATAACCATGAGCTAAATCACAGAACAGGTGCTTCAAATGTGATTGGCGATGTCTCAATACACAATATTACCATACTACTCAGTATTATATAGCTGCATACCAGTATAATTACTGCATTGAATAACCCCATATCAAATAGCTGAATATCAGTATAATTAGTAATTATGAAGTTTATAAAATAAAATAACCATCGGCTGCCAGACAGGATAGAGAACAAGCTAAACAAAAAGCAATTTTTCATAAAATCAAGGGCCATAATTCAGGAAGGTACGATCAGGTATTGAAAGCAACGCAGGAAATTATGGTCCAATATGCGCGAAAGGAACCAAGATCTTTGGGTTATAAACTTACATTTCAAATTTCAACAAAATCAGATAAAAATTGTGACCTCTATAGGACCCACAAGCTAAAAACACAGTTTTTCGTACAATCAGGGGCCATAATTCATGAAGTTACGGTCCGATACATGCCAATATCGAAAGGAACCAAGATCTTAGGGAAATAAACCTATATTTCAAGTTTTGATGAAATCGGATAAAAATTTTGACCTGTAGAGTGTCCACAAACAATTGTGGATGGACAGGGGCGACGACAATATACGTCCACATGAAAATGTGGGCGTATAAAAATGGCATGTTTTAATTGCATAAAACGTGTACGGTTAATAACTTACATAAGATTAATGAGATAATCCCTGTTAATACAGTCACTGTGACATCAGAAAACGGAATATAAACATAAATTTACATACATAAAAGCAAATATAGTCATGCTATAGATAAAACCCTTTTAAAATTAATTCAATATCAAAATCTTCGTTTCTATTATTTTTTTATCGTGTGGTTGGAATCAGTCTGGTTGTGGTCCGAATCAGCCTAGAATGTGGACCAAATCAGCTTTGACTTTTGATCCGAATCAGCTTGGTTACAGTTGTATTTTTCAGTACAAGCTCAATGACGAGTACATTGTATTCCTGTCTCAAAACTACATTAGCCTAGGAACTGAAACTTTTCCTCATGAGTGTACCCGAGATTGTATTTTCTTGCATGCAGCCACAGAATATTGTAAAAGTTATTGCAACCTCAGTATGGGTTTGGAATACGCAGAAAATGTTTTCACAATCGCAGGAAACTGTAGCATAATGGCAGGTACCATTATAGAGTTTTTCAGCCGATCAGGTACTGGTACCCCGGGTATGACTATTATTATAGCCGACAAACACCCCTTCAGCCTTACTAAGATGTACATGTAGGCTACAATATCTGGATTATATTTTCAGGGAAGCAAAAAGAAAGATGGGAGATAGATATAATATTCACACTCAACTAGAACATCTACAATCAAAATACATCGGTACAGGTCACGCTGATACAAATAAATGGGAGTGGTTAACTAATCAACACAGAGATAGTTCTGCTTCTTACCTTGGTCACTTTGATACACTAAATTATTTTGGACTAGTTGAAAATGAAGCCAAGGCCCGGGTCAAATTCAATCTGATGGAGAAAATGCTGCAACCATGTGGTCCACCTCCTAAAAGACTAGAGGATTAATTTCTTGGAGTGTATTGTGTTATTTGTAACTTTAATTGTATTCTTCATTGACCAATAGAAATACTTGAACTAGATTACATGTGATACTGCCAACTTTTTAATTGATTGGATAAGCTGTTTATTGGGCTTGGAGGAAATGCTGACAATTTACACCTCAACAGTCTGGTGGTTGATTACTCTTGTGAATCAATCTGCTGTGTCATCTTGGTGGCGTGTTAATTACATTAGTCTACAACTAGTTGATGATACAGATTCATGTAGATATAGCATGTGTACACAGTATAGACACAATGTAAATCAACTTTTATAATTATCATTGTTTGGTTCCATACTGAAATACAGATAATAAATTATATGAATCTGGATTAGTGGCTGGATTCTGGTATAACTGTCATGTTCAGTTACTGGTATATATTTTTAAATCATTTTGTCTGCAATTTCATGTCTTAACATAAACAAATAAAGATTCATAATGATACTTTTTTTTCCTTTGTTATGGTTATTAATGCTTTGGAAAAAAGGAGACCAACTCCACTTGTTCTTTTAAGGGTTTAGTCTTGTCACACCACATACATTCATAGCATTGCATCGAATATGATGGGCAATTCCACGGTAATGGATGTACATCTTGAACTCTCATATTTTGATTACTTCCAATATTAACTAACAATGAATGATTAACTATTTGGGTTTTATAATTTATATACAAGTATCCTTTATACATACATTATGTAAGAGCCAAATCTGCCTATGAAAAGACCATAATCATTTTTCGATGCCATCTTATGTGTCAGATTTTCACTGAATTTGAATCCAATCTGCTGCTCAATGCTCATTGATGATTATATCCGAAAATGGATAAACAAGACTATGTTATTTATCGTACCGACTTTAGTAATGATGACCAAGATTAGGCCGAAATTTCAATTGCTAATATCTTGGTTCAGAGTGGAGCAATTTGACTGAAATTTTTAGCATATTCCCTTCACATTATCTAGTTTTTAACTATCATAATGAGAACTGCCACCTCTTTATCTAATCCTCCATAATGCCCCTTTAACATATGTTTTAAGTATCCACAAATATTGACTCCTCAAAGTATGGGTAACGGACGTACAGAAATGAACACCATGATTTGCCTGTGTGAACACAGTTCTAAAACTTTGTGAATTTTCCTTGTAGGAAAGGGCACTAGTACTCCATGTGTACTGTATGATCACTTTTCACATTTGGATTTTTGTAACCCAGTAAATTACAAATTATTGTGGCAACACATGTACATATTTTCTGATAACGGACGTACAAGTGCAAATTGCTAACCCATTACATGAGATGAATAAGTAAACTTTTAAATAATCCCACAGATAGATAATAATAATTAACTCATCTAAATTAATGGAGCAGTTATTTTCCTAACAACATTACTCCTTGAGTGAAATATTTTGACCCTAAAATTTTGGTAAGGGGGGACGTACATTTTGATGCTTTGAGTTTGATGTGTTAAAGAACCAGTGATTCTTGACACATTTTTCTTCTGAATTAAAATGGACTAACATAGTAGAATTTAGAAATATATATTGAACTTCCATGTTACAGACATTCAGACTGCAAACATTAAAAAGCAGTCTAACCAAAGAACAATTGGTAAAAAATGGATTAGATTCAATGAAACATATGCTACAGCCATTATAAATTCATGTTACTTTCAATCAATTTTATGCCGTCGATTTTTATACGCCCACATTTTCATGTGAACGTATATTGTCGTCGCCCCTGTCCGTCAACAATTTGTTTGTGGAGACTACAATTTTTATCAAATTTTGACGAAACTTGAAATATAGGTCTATCTCCCAAAGATCTTGGTTCCTTTCGATATTGGCATATATCGGACCATAACTTCATGGATTATGGCCCCTGATTGTACGAAAAATCACCTTTTTAGCTTCTGGACACTCTTAAGAGGTCACAATTTTGATACGATTTTGATGAAACTGGAAATGCATGTTTATAATCCAAAGATCTTTGTTCCTTTCGATATTCGCGCATATCGGATCCTAACTTCCTGAATTATGG